GAGACTCGGAATTATACTCTTGCTTTGGCGAAAGAGTTGGCAATTCCTGAACTGGCTGAAGATGATGATGCTTTAGTTGATATGCAGGAGCATCCGAGTAGTGACGGACATCCACATTTCTTAAGTGGAAATGAGTTCAATCATGAGTGTAAAGAAAAAGGTGTGGTAAAGGAGGTGCCCAGATGGGAGGAAGATTTTAAATATTACGAGTTAAGTACTCCTAAAGGACTTGATATGCTTGAGACATCTGTCACCCCATTTGTTGAAGACCCGGATCAAATTGGCAGCACGAGTTTATGTGTAGACTTTGCTTCAAAGGCATCTGACATACCGTATCGCGAAAGCAAAGATCCACCTAACTTGGTTTTTGATGGAGAGTCTCATGTTTATGATGTTCATGTCATTGATCATAAATCTAAGACGTTGAATGCTGTGAGTGTGAAAAATGAACGGCAGTCTGTAAGTGCTCCATCAAACGTTCCTAAAAATTGTGGCAGTCCATCTTTGAGTACTCATTATGAGATGAACAGAAGTAGTTCGGACATAACTAGTGGATTACCTCCGACAGGCTTCTCTCAAGAAAAAGCTGTACTTACTGATTGTCGAAGAAATTCCATGTCTGCGGTTGATTATGAGAAGTTGAAAATTGAAAATGAAGTTGAGTGGCTAAGGGAAAGGTTAAGGATAGTGCAAAAGGGAAGGGAGAAACTCAACTTCTCTGTGGGGCATAGGGAAAGGGAAAAACTCCAGTTGCAACTTTTGGAGGACATAGCCAGCCAGCTTCGAGAGATTCGACAGTTAAATGAGCCTGGAAAAGCTGAGCGTCAGGCTTCATTACCCCCTACATATTCCAAGGTAAACTTTTTTATTTTTCATTCGTTAATCTTTGCATCGCTTATCACGTTTGGTCATCAGGTTCATTGGTGGGTGCCGTGTATTAGTTTCTTTTCTTCCCCTTTTTTTGGGAGGCAGGCTAATAGTATCATGCAAGAAGGTGGTTGTGTGTGGAAATTAGTCGACGAGTGCCGTGATTGTTGTCTCTAGTTTGTTTGGATGAAGTGAGTGGTACATGGTACATATTTTTTTTGTTTTTGGGTGAGTGCTTATCGGTTCTGTTTTCATATTGCTGATGATTATTGCTCTATTATTTGTAGCTCAAATCCCATGATACTTTATCTCTTGAGCACATTCCTCCATAGGTGCATGAAATTTTGTTAACATATGGATTCAATATCGTCTTTTATGTTTTGAAATTGCATTTTTGATATGTTGATGGACATACATTCCATGGGGTTTCGGAATGCGTGAATACTAGACATGATTGGGCTGAGAAAAACAGTTTATTGATAGCATCTTGCACTGGTATCAACTTATCTCAACTGCCATGATAGCCACTGAGAACTAACTGAAAATTTTTGAGATTAAGGTACTTTGAGAATGTTCATTGTGCGGCATTCAGGTGACTTGGTATATCTAAATGTTATGCAATCGGAATTGTTTATTTGTGTATTCTCTGGTATTGTTTATTGGAATGATATGTTTGTATATTGACTTGGTCAATACATTTGAGTTTGCATGCATTTACTTTCGTGTATGCAAGAAGCATAAGTGTGTAGTGTCGGTTTCTTTTGTTTGTATATCTTACTGAACTGCAAAGAATTGTCGAGATTTTGAATATTATCTGCACTCCATGTATTCAGGGCCTTTTTATTTTTATTTTTATTTTTTTTAATTGTCCAACGAGTGTTAAACTGTCTAATATTCTTAAATGTTTCTTCATCATTCTCTTATAGTTCTCACAATATTCAGCAGGGTTCTTGTTTTCTGGACCTTTTCTTGCCGATTGCTGAATCTTATATTTTCAGGTTACATCCAAAAAAAGACGCTGGCGAAATGCATCTCTAGGAATTCATAGAAGTACTTAAATTAAGGTAAAAGAGCTCAACGTTGGATCAAGGTACAAAAGCTAGTTACGCAAGTAAATTTTACGCTCCCTTTTATACGCTACAATGGAAGGTTGGTAGTCCGTTTTTTGTAGATCCGGTGGCGTTGCTGGTTACTCTTGCAGAAACATATCAGCTTCTCGACTCTCTTGACACACAAGTTGCAAGGACATCTGAAAAAGTAAGTAGAGAAAGGACGATAGCAGAACTGTCGCAGAACCTATGTTTCATTTGTTTTCCCGTCTCCGAACTGATATGGATCCGCTAAATGGATCATATGTTTGTGTTTTTGACAATGCTTTTAGCAGTGTAGCAACCACGTGAGAAAGTAAATCTTGGACAATAGTTTCCTTGTCACTCAAGAAATAAAAAGATCTATGACAAGTTTTACCTTAATCTTTATCTCTCGGATACCACTGCGTATTTACTGTAATTCATTAAATTCTCTCAATTAAATATTAGCTTGTTAGTTCAACCTCTTTGTTTTGGATTGGCTTCCTAACGTTAGACTTTTATGGAGATTTGCATGCGCACATTAATGTGACATTTGGAACATGGAACTTTAGGTGTCTTTATTACGGACTGTTTTCCCAACTGCACGGTTTAAATTATCCTACTAGAGTGATGGTATTTACAAGAATTAACGTAGACTTTGGCGTTAATCTAGATTAATAATAACAACCATGCGAAGCAGGGATAAAAATTTGAGAGGAATGTTAAATGCACAGATTCTATTCCAGATACTATTCTATTCTTTTAACATGTGTCATCTTGATTTTCTCTACCAAACACACTTAACAATAACTTCTTTTAACCGTATTAACACTTTTCTGTTGTATGTGGATGATTATATACTACTCACATATAATTATATTGACCTGCAGCGTGAGGCAAACATGATATATATCATACGATGTGTGTTCTAGTCGTGGCATCTTCACTGGAGCCTGTGACACGAATTTGGACCATGGTGTTACAGCTGTTGGATATGGTGCCGCCTAGGACGGGACCAAGTATTGGGTGGTGAAGAACTCGTGGAGAGTGTTGAAAAATACGGCAAAAGTGTTGAAAAATACGGCAAAAAGTCACGCATCGAAATTTTAAAATTTTGCATTAAACAAAATAAAGTCGAGTCATGACGGGACCAAGTTTTGGGTGGTGAAGAACTCGTGGAGAGTGTTGGAAAATACGGCAAAAAGTCACGCAGCGAAATTTTAAAATTTTGCATTAAACAAAATAAAGTCTCGTGTCATGTTCATGATGCTATATATCATACATACAAAAGATCTATTTTGTACCTCTAAAAGACGAACCGTTGAATTTTGAAAGCGACTGCAACGAATATAATAGACACTAGTAGGGCTTCAATCAACTGCTCTTCTCCGCTATTTCTTTTCTACGATCGAAGTACAAGTGGACACACGTTGTCCAATCTCCTACTTGGTTTCTTGATCTCTTTCCAACTACAAGATGGCCAAAGGAAAAACGTTTTTCATGTTTGAACAGTTTTTCCTCCCCTTGCCAATAGCCCCCAAAGAATCTTTCAAGTGATCTAAATAACTTTGGGAATGGGCTATTTATAGAGGTAGGTTAGACTTGTTTCGTAATTCTGTTAAGTTTTCATATCTAAAATCGCGATTAAAATCGCAACTAGTCGGTGCCACGTAGACCGTCCAGTTAACCGAGCAATGGATTATGTCTGTACTACGTAAACACCTCCAGTTAACCGGGCATAGCCCACCGGTTAACCAACCCCATTTTTCAACCTCATTTTGTTCCTCATGTTTGAACCCGAGAATAAAATATATAACTCCAATTTTAATTCAAACAATCTAATGTAAAAATTATATGATTAAAATAATTATATATTTATTTTCTCATATCAAATAAAAAAATATTAATTCAACTAATTTATTTTGAATTAATTTACACAATTAATTTAACCGATAAATAACTCTTGCATCAATTTAAATACTTTATTTATTCAACCAATTTATCTTGAATTAATTTAAATTGATAAATCACTCATGGATTAATTCCATCCGATTTATAACCAATTGTAGAAACATTATAAATTACCAATAAATAGGAAACTATATATAAACTTGTTGTTGAAATGTATAATGACGAAAATAGACATACTTTATCATACATGTTTGTAGTTAGTTTTATTTCTATTTTTATAGTCAGTATTCATAATATAAAAAAAAATATATGCTTAATTTTATTAATTAAAATAGTTCTTAAAAATAAATTACTTTTATTCAAGAACAAAATTATTCATCCACCCATATTTATTATTGTTATTTTTAAATATTTTGATAATTATTATAAATATTTAAATGAAATTTAGCATACCAAATTTATTAAAGATTTTCAATTTTTTAGTAACTATTTTAAATATATATGTTTTTAATTTGGTATAAAAAAAGTAAAATAGGTATGCATGTAGCAGAAGTTGATTTTAGTGTTTGTTAAATCTCCTCAAAAGTGTTTTTTAAAGAATTTTTCAAGAATCTACAGCCAAAATTAGAAGCAGCCTAAAGACAACTTTAGCTTTTAGATTGTGCGAGAATCATAAGCTGATTTTAGGAGGAAAAAGCAATACCAAACTAAGCCATAGGTTACTGAACACTTTAACACAATATGAAATCTAGTGTTGGTTTTAAAAATGATTTTCTATACAAAAACGTGTATCTAACGGATCGTGTATAATAAAAATTTTGACATGTCGATAACTTGAGTTCTTTGACCACGAACGTTCCTCGCTCCAAGCTTGTTTAGAATACCCGAATCTTCCTCGTTAATTCCTTAAATTTGCGAAGACGTGTGTGGGTACACTTGAAACAAAACGAGATTAGCAAATAAACACTTAAGTATTCCACAAACACAAACACATGCACAATGTGGACTTTAGGAGAAATTTTTTTCTTACCACACTCTATAAATTTCAGTCACACTATGCTAGGGAGAGTAAAAAATTATGTTCTCTAATTTTCTGTAATCTCATATTTATAGAGTAGTAGTGAAACTCCTAGAAAAACTCTTATCTTTATCTCTAAGATAAAAGTTAATAATTATTTCTCACTTCTAATTGATTTTGGAAATAATATCCCCTCTTTCTCTTATCTGCAGGGGCTGGCCACCACATGAATATTTCTCTATGCGATTGGCGCAAATAACATATAAGAAAGGAGAAAAAATTCTCATTTATCCTGCAGTTCAATTTTAACTCAAATTTAAATTATAATTTAAGTCAAACTTAATTTAATTTGAATTTTAATTTGACAAGTTATCAATCGTGTTCTGACCCGCGAACCGATTGATTAGCATTAAATTGTATGTTTAGACGTTTCACTAGTACTGTTATTATTATTTTAATAAACATTTTCTACCATAATTAGGCCTCGTTCACTTCGCGGATTCGAGTTTTTAATTCGAGTTGAGATGTGACATTTTCTGAGAGCTTTTCACTGTAGCAGAAAAATTTAATGTGACATTTTTTGAGAACTTTTTACTGTAGAAACCTAAAATTGAAAACTCGAATCAGTGAAATGAACGAGGCCCAAATAAGTTAATTAGATAACTTACAGAGCAAGCAATGAATCTCAGAGAAATTCTCATTGTGTTGGGCGTGTACACCATGTGGACTCCTCCACATATGTGTTTTAAAATTCAAATTTAAATAATCTTATCATTTAATTTATAAAGAATTTTCAATTAATTATTCTTGAGTGTTCTATTTAGAATTCTATAATTTTAAAATTTTCATTTTGCCCTTAGTGTCTCGTAGGATTACAATAACGACACGGGGACTCGTAGACCTATAATTTTAAGCTCCAATAAAATTAATAATTAATTAAAAATCTTTAACAAATTATATAATTCTATTAATTTTAAAAGTTACTCCACTATAAACTTGGAATTGCATTCTCACAATTATATATATAATTTACTTCTAAACTGTGAAGTATCAATTTGACATATTTATTATGTATAGATCAATCATCTATAAATGATTCATAATTAGAGTTAGGTGAAATCCGTTAACCTCTCTAATTACATATTTATCATTGAGTACCATTGATTTTTTAATGAACAGTGATTCATAAAACAAATTCATGAATTGAGCTTCTATTAGTCCAAGTACTGAATCAATCCTTAAGAGAATTATTTAGCTGCTTCTTTCTCAAGAAGAAGTGGATTATATCTTGTGTATTAACATTTTCGGCTACTTATTTCATCATGTCTCTAAAATACAAGGAAATATGATTCAACATCTAAGAATCCGTACTGAATAAATTAAAAGATACAAATCCATAAATGAGAGTCTTGCTAATAACTTAGAATTAAGATCATTATATAGATGACCATCGATAAACTCAATTGAAATTTCTATGCTTAACAAAAATTATCAGAAATTCATGTTGTGTCTGTATTCTGATTCCACACAATCTCATTATGCGTAATACACTCATTGAATATCTCGACATATTAATAGTGCAGATAACACCATTTCATTCTAAATACGAAGATCGTTTTGATTTTTTATTATCCTTAAATATTATCATCTTGCATATAACACTTATATATAATATTTGATGTCACATAAATAATCATTAAATTTATAGTGATATTCATAAAATATTTAATAATATATACACATAAAATAATGAATAAAATTTTTTATTAAATAAATAATAAATATCATATTATATCCGATACTTCTAAAACATCATTCCTAACATCTAGTTCAAAGGATTAAAATTAACCTTCTCTTGTTTTATCTCCTATTCTTTGAATTCCTTATTAATAAAGGCGTCTTAAAAAATTTGTATTGCATTTAAATTAGATGTTAAAATTTTTTATTAAACGTGTTTTTTTGAAACTAATTTAATAGACATATTATAATAATTTTATAAATTAAGATGACTCACTAAGTAGACGTTTGGTAAGGGGATTTATACCATGATTTGAATCATGATTCGCTACAATATTTTCTCTCATAAAAAATACACGTAAATTAAAAATAGTTCTAATATCATGATTCTAATCCATGAATTAACCCGTTTAGTTCGTTGATTCGAGTTAAGATGTGACGTTATATGAGAGCTTTTTACTATAGCAAAAAAGTTAGATGTGATTGTTTCTGAGAGTTTTTTACTGTAGTAAAACTCAAATTCTAAACTCGAATCAGTGAAATGAACGGGGTACGTTTCCTAAAATTGAAAGTTCATAGAGTAATATTGTATTAAAAAGTATTTTTTTCTACTTAAATACTAAATTTATAATTGATATATCAATTATAATAGTGCATTAAAGATGATGAATGGTTTTTCCTTTTGTTCGCACGAAGTTGAAAGTTAAGGCCTCGTTCACTTCGCGGATTTGAGTTTTCAATTCGAGCTGAGATGTGACATTTTTTGAGAGCTTTTTACTGTAACAGAAAACATTAAATGTGATATTTTTTGAGAACTTTTTACTGTAAAAATTTAGAATTAAAAATTCAAATCGGTGAAATGAACGAATAATAGTACATAACTTATTACAAAAAAAAACGAAAAGGCAAAAACAAATCGAAAAAGGGCAAGTCAATCAGCTGATACGGAAGCGAAAGGTCAGAGAAGAAAAACAGAAATCATAGCTCTACAAAAATAAAAATCGTTTTCACTTCAGCATTAAATTAAAAAATCGATTTAAACACCGTTTCTTTTCATTTTATTTTTTCTTTTTTAAAAAATGTAAAAAATAAAAATAAAAATAATTTCAAACACAATTAATAAGATCTTATTCAATTTATGAATTTGAATTGAAATATATACGTAATTTTTTATAAAAATTTTTAATTGTAATAAAATTAAAATTAAAAATTAAAAATAATAAAATAAATAAGATCTTAAAAATTAATTTTTTTGGGATTAATTTTGCCGCCACATTTTCATAACTCTCACAGTAACGCACCCGGTTTAATAGGCCGTCTGTCCGGGCTGGTTTCCCTCTCATTTCCCAAATCCCGCCCATCGTTTCCACTTCCCCATAACCAAAAACCCTGCTCTCTCTCTCTCTCTCTCTCTCTCTCTCTCTCTCTCTGTAAAAATCACTTTCCTTTTCTGTTTCTCTCTCTGAAATTCAAAATTTCTTGCTTCCTAGAGTATCGAAAATATTCCGGAGAATCGCTTTTCGTTGGAGGGCCCAGAAGGTGAAGCGAATCAGAAAAGGAGGCGCGGTAGAAAGAAGGTTGAGAAGAAGGATCAGGAAGCTAGGGATTCGGCAATGGAGATCGTCGGGGGCGAAGGAGTAGTTGGGATGAAAAAACGCGTAAGAAAGCCGAAAAGTTCGAAACCTTTGGCTGAGAAAGGTCCCGGGAGTAAGAAGACGAAGCTTGTTGTGGAAGGTGATAAGGAGAATGGAGAAGAGGTGAAGGAGGCTGAGGAATTTAGGGTTTCAGAGATGGAGAGAGTTGTGGAAGAGAATGTTGTTGGTGAAGGAGTTGAGAAGAAGAAACGTAGAAAGAAGAAGGCTGTGGAGGGATCAGAAATTTTGGTGGAGAACGTTTTGGAAAAGGCAAAAGACGTTGTAGAAAATAGTCGAGATAATGAAAGTTCGGAACTTTTGGTGAAGAAAGGTAATAAGAAGGTGAGTGTTGTAGTGGAGGATGTTCCGGAGAATGGAGAAATGGAGAATGCTGTTGAAGATGGTGGAAATGGAGTTGAGAAGAATAAACGCGGACGCAAGGGTCGGAAAAAGGAGGCGTTGGGGGAAAGTTCGGAGATTTTTGTCGAGAAAGATAAGGCGAAGCTTGTTGTGGAAGAGAATGTTGTTGGTGAAGGAGTTGAGAAGAAGAAACGTGGAAAGAAGAAGAAGGCTGTGGAGGGATCAGAAATTTTGGTGGAGAAAGTTTTGGAAAAGGCGAAAGACGTCGTAGAAAATGGTCGGGATGATGAAAGTTCGGAGCTTTTGGTGAAGAAAGGCGGAAAGAAGGTGAATATTGTAGTGGAGGATGTTCCGGAGAATGGAGAAAATGTCAAGAGTTCTCGGGAAGTTGGGGATTTTGTAATGGCAAATGCTGTTGAAGATGATGGAAATGGAGTTCAGAAGAATAAATGTCGACGCAAGGGTCGGAAAAAGGAGGTGTTGGGGGAAAGTTCGGAGATTTTTGTCGAGAAAGAAAAGGCGAAGCTTGTTGTGGAAGGTGATAAGAAGAATGGAGAAGAGGTGAAGGAGGCTGAGGAATTTAGGTTTTCAGAGATGGAGAAAGTTGTGGAAGAGAATGTTGTTGGTGAAGGAGTTGAGAAGAAGAAACGTGTAAAGAAGAAGAAGGTTATGGAGGGACCAGAAATTTTGGAAAAGGCAAAAGACGTTGTAGGAAATGGTGGGGATGATGAAAGTTCGGAACTCTTGGTGAAGAAAGGTGGAAAAAAGGTGAATGTTGTAGCGGAGGATGTTCCGGAGAATGGAGAAAATGTCAAGAATTCTCGGGAAGTTGGGGATTTTGAAATGGCAAATGCTGTTGAAGATGGTGGAAATGGAGTTCAGAAGAATAAACGTAGACGCAAGGGTCGGAAAAAGGAGGTGTTGGGGGAAAGTTCGGAGATTTTTGTCGAGAAAGAAGAGGCGAAGCTTGTTGTGGAAGATGTTCGGGAAAATGGTGAGAAGGGTCAGGGAGGTAAGGATTTGGAAATGGAGAATATTGTGGAAGAAGTTTCTGATGGAGTTGAAGAGAACAAAGGAGGGCAAAATGGCCACGAGAAGAAGGTTTTGAAGGAAAGTTTAGAAATTTCAGTTGAGGAAGATGGAGAAAAGTCGAAGCTTGTTGTAGAAGGAGAAAATGGAGCTAATGAGGGCAATGAGGGACCAAAAAAGCGTTTGAGGGGTTATAGTAAGAGAGTAAATACTGGAAAGAACGGTTCAAGTATATCTATTTCTGGAAAAGAGAGCAGTTTGAATCAAGAAAAGGAGGTGGATGCTTCAAAGGCAACTCGTAAAAATGAGGGGAATTTGGATAATCACCAAAAGGGAGTGGAGTTATCAGAAATTGACAATCATAAAGGTTATTCGCTGAGGCGTGGAAATGTTCCAGTGCAAGAGAAGCCAAAATTAAATAAATCAGACCAAAAAGTAAGAAGCTTTCTCCCCCCCTCTCTCTTTTCTTTGCTATCATTATTGTTTATTTATCTACTTGGAGGTCTGTTTCGATATCTGATTCAACAATTTATTGAATAGGTTTCCTCAATGTGCCACCAATGTCAAAAGAATGACAAAGGCCGGGTTGTTAGGTGCAAAAGTTGTAATAGAAAGCGGTTCTGTGTTCCTTGCATAACAAAGTGGTATGAGTATATTTCGAATGTGTCATTTCTTCACTTTGTGCGTGTTATTGTATTTATGTTGGTGTTGGCACCATATTTGGATAGTTTCTTTATAGTTTAGGAAAACTATTCTGGAGCTGGTTTTGAAATAAGTCAGAGTGCCATGTGTCATATATATTAATTTTTTAAATTGGTGAAAACTATAATGCATGCAAAAGGAAAACCATCGTATATAGCAGAAGTGCTATATAGTACTATTATTCAGTATCCTTGTTATTGTTCTTATTTATCGCTATAATAATTAAACTATATTACTATATGTTTTCAGTTTTTGCATAACAGATAGAGATGCTGGATTTTTATTCTTGGCCTAGTTGAAATCCTCATGGATGAGTGTCAATAGTTTCTACTTCATGTACGATACATATTAATATGAGTAATGGGAAAAAAAAGTTGTGCAAGATTGTGGGATAACAGTTTTTGTAGCTGTTTTTAAGCATCATGTTACGTAGGTATCTAACCAGCAAAAACAAGAACATTATGTAGGTATCCACATACACTTGAAGAGGAAATTGCCGAGGCTTGTCCTGTATGCCGTGAAATTTGCAATTGCAAAGCATGCTTACGTTTAGATGCACCAATAACAGTCAGTTTCTCATTTTCTGTTGTCTCTTAAATGCTCACATAAATTAAGTATATAAATGAGGTTTCATAAAATTTAATAATGTTGCTGCAGAAGATTGAGAAGCTGGAATTAAATATTAGCAAAGATGAAGAAATTGAGCACTCAAGGTATTTGCTTCAAGGGCTTCTTCCATTTTTGAAAAGATTAAATGAGGAACAAGGAATTGAAAGTGAGATGGAAGCTAAGAGACGAGGTACATTGTTTAACTACACTCTGAGAGTGGCTTTATCCTCATTTAATAGTTAAAATCAATTTTTCTCATTCCTCGTGGTGTTTCATTTTCACTATTAGACATTTTTAGCAAGTATCCTTGGGTCAGGTGAGTATTTCTCTCAAAAGCAAACACATAATCATTTTTCATTTTGGGGAGAAGTAAGAATAATGGTTCCTTGCTTTCTTACTCGAGATGAATGAGATATATAAATGAACTGTTGTATAGTTTCAATATGATGGGACATTCATGTTGTCAGGGGTTTCTTTGTCGGAGCTAAAGATACAAGAGTCACATTGCTCTAAAAACGAGCGTATTTATTGGTGAGCCCTTTACAAAATCATATATTATTACATTTATATTATTATTACTATCATATTTATCGTTTGGAATATCTAACAAGTATCTCTTCGGTTGCAGCAACAACTGCAAAACTTCTATTGTTGATTTTCACAGAAGCTGTCCTCTATGTTCATATGACCTTTGCCTCGGTTGTTGCCGGGAGATTCGAGATGGACACCTTCAGGGAAGTGAGGAGGATCTTATTATGCCATTCATTAGCCGAGGCTTGGAGTATTTGCATGGTGGTGGGAGCAAAGAGGAAGCTTCTTCCGGCGGCACTAGCTATTACGACAGTGTTATTCCAATTTCGGAGTGGAAAGCAAATGAAGATGGAAGCATTCCTTGCCCTTCAAAGGACTTGGAGGGCTGCAGTCATGTGCTTCTAGAACTGAGGAGCCTGTTTCCAGAAAATTTTGTCCCAAAGTTGGTAAAGAAAGCGGAAGAACTAGCAGATACTTACAAACTCATCGATACATCTGAAATTCCTACACATCAGTGTTCGTGTCTCAATGCCAGGGATGCGAGTGAGTTGAGTCTCAAGATGGTAAGGAAAGCTGCTAATCGAGAAGATTCTGATGATAACTATTTGTACTGTCCAAAGGCTAGCAAAATCCAACTTGAGGATTTGAAGCATTTTAGGGAGCATTGGATGAGAGGTGAACCGGTAATCGTCGATAATGTTCTTGAAACTGCATCAGGTTTAAGCTGGGAACCATTTGTCATGTGGCGTGCTTGTCGTCAATTGCATCATGTCAAGTATGATAAACATTTGGAAGTCAAGGCCATTGATTGCTTGGATTGGTGCGAGGTAGGCTTTTTATTTTTATGTTTTATCCATTTACTTTTACTAACTAAACAATGTTTTACTGATGACTCTGGTTATATTTCTAATTGCTTATTGATTGATTTTGGTATACTTCCAACTGTTTACTTGTGCTTGTGATTCAAACATGTTTTTTTTTTTTTTTTTTTTTTTTTTTTAAATTTTTTTTTTTTTTTTTTTTTTTTTTTTTTTAAATGATGCTTTAAACCTGTTTCAGTTCACATGATAAAACTAAAAAGTTAAGGAGGATACTTGAATGGGTCATGCCATTGTTTTGGTTCACAATTGTTGAAAGTTTTATGTAGTTCAGACACTCACAGGGTACTGTCTGCATACACATGCATGCTATGTAATTCTTTTCTGTTATTTGTTCTCATGATATATCTTGTTTTTATACATGAGTTACAACTGCTTTATGCTTCATAGAAATGGAGGAAGATAATTTGTATGAGTCATACTTGAATAATGCTAACCTAATATGATGTGTTTCTGCTGGAGGGTAACCTCTGTTCTTGTTTTAGATAAAAATGAATTGTTATTGCTGTAATGGTTTGATTGGGAGATGCAATATATAGCTTCTGTGCTGTGCAGCATATGTGGTTGATTGGAGATGTCCGTGAAACTGTAATTTATCTGAGATATTAGTATGCATGAGTGATGTATGCTTTTGACCTTAAGCTGCACTTTATTTATTTATTTATTTTTTAATTATAGAATATTGTTCAATTGGGCTCATGAGCATCTTTTCTTTGTTTTTTCCCCGTTTGATATATGCAGTATTTTTTCAAGGTGAACAATATTTTGCTCGTGCCTCGTGTATTATTAATGTTAAACGTGTGGAACTGTGATTTATTTATTATATTTCTCTGAAAATACTTTCTTGTACACGTCTTTTCATTATCAGATGGCAATAAGGAATTTGGCTGATCAATGCTAAGTACTTAACGATTTTCAGTACCAGGTTTTCTAGTATATACTAGAATTTTGATTATGAACTTGAAAGTTTTTAATGGATGAATTCAGTTTAATTTGATTCCTGATAAGTTCTGATAAGGGTTCTAAAATGTTTCTTTGATAATATTTTGGAAAATGAGATGCACATTAGGAATAGATTTCAAGTTATTCTTTTATACATTAAACTTGTGGACGCATTCTTGTGAGTTGGTATGAAATTGTTTGGAGGTTTATAATCACCTACTTTTTTCATCTTCCAAATTAACTTTTCAAATAGAATTTAAAGTTACTTAGAATTGTATCTGTTTATTGTATCTCTCTCTCTCCGTTTTTTTTTTAAACTCCATTTTAAGATCTTGCTCTGTTCTGTAGTCCAAGTATTTTAGAGCTGCTTTAGTTTCTTTATTTTTTTTATTTGATGAAGTTTTTTATTATTTCTTTCCATTTCTTTTCATCTCACACTTTTTATAATCCAATTTCAATTGCTGATTTAAATTTCTCATGAAATGCAGGGTGACATTAATATCCATCAGTTTTTCATTGGGTATTTAGAAGGGCGTTTTGATTTGAAAAGGTGGCCTCAGATACTTAAACTGAAAGATTGGCCCCCGTCTAGTTTATTTGCAGAGCGTTTGCCTCGTCATAATGCTGAATTCATCTCCTGCTTACCATTTAAGGAATATACACATCCTCTTAATGGATTGTTAAACCTCTTTGTCAAATTGCCCAAGGAATCTTTAAAGCCGGACATGGGGCCCAAGACATATATTGCTTATGGTGTTCAGCAGGAGCTTGGACGTGGAGATTCTGTAACCAAACTTCATTGTGACATGTCTGATGCAGTATGTTTTGCTTTATTACAAAATATTTTCTGGTCACAAAATGCATCCCTATATGTAACTGTTTGAATGGTAGTTAACTTAGAAGGGAAGTAGGAAGAAGAAACAAATGGATGTCATGCTGGCTTTATTGCTTTCATTTGTTCCTTAGGGCCTGGGTTTGTGTGTGCTTCTCTCCTTTTTGTGTTTCTTTTATCTGATTTGTTATCATATAGTTTTTTGCTCTAATCTTCTACCTTGTAATCATTGTTTATCAAAGTGGGCGATCAAAAGATATTGTTAAAATGGTTTTCATGTTCCTGGTCAAGATTTTATACTGTGACACTGAATTCAGTAGGGATCTGGATCATCAGACGTTAATTTGGAAGGCTACTGTAGTTCCTTGGGTTCTTATATAGTTTTAATGCTTTCAACAGTCTTTATACGTACAAGTCAGAATTTACCTTCTATGAGGTGATTACCTCTATTTATATTAACTATGTGCTAACACTAATTGCAGCTATATATAATGTTTCAACTTTTGGTTCTAATTTTTGCATACCAAGGTTTCATCATTTAGAGCTTTTAGTCCATATGTTAACGATAACTTAATGACTAAATGAATTTATGAAGTAATTGGTGCAATTCTATGCCATGAAAATTATGTGGGCACATTGCACCATTTTTATGCCATGAGAGTTATGCGGTTCTGTTATCTCATTCATCTACGTGCTTCAAATGGAAACATTACTTATTCAGTATATTAATATCTCAGGTAAATGTTCTGACTCATACTGCTGAAGTGAAATTTACACCTGAACAGCTTACTACCATAGAAGACCTGAAAAAGAAGCACAGTGAGCAAGACCAGAGAGAAATTTTTGGAAGTCGTGTGGCTAGTGATTGTGAGTGGAAGGTTAAAGAATTTTCACAGTTAAACTCTCGAAAGAGTCAGGAGTTAGATAAAGATGAAAGTGGAGGTAATATTGATCTGTTACTAAATTCTGGAAATACATTGGAAGGCTTGGAAGAAGCTGAGGGTGGTGCTCTATGGGACATTTTCCGGCGAGAGGATGTTCCCAAGCTGCAGGAGTATCTGAAAAAGCATTTCAGAGAATTTAGGCACACTTACGGCTGTCCAGTACATCAGGTAATTGCAAGAGTCAATAGTAATTTTAACTCTATGCTTTTCCTTAAATGTGATGCAACAAAAGGTTTTTAGCTTGCTTTTTATGATCATACTTTTACCTATTTGTATTTGTAGTTTTTTTTTGTAATTTTTTTTAGAATCATATTTGTGGTATTCAAATTATCTAAACAGCCTTTTTTATTTTTTATTTTAAATTTTGTGATACTTTATTAGTGTTTCTGGAATCCCATCATGTTATTTTGTTTCCTTACCATGCAATCCTTGTTAAATATATTTGATTTGAATCACTACCTAACTATAAAGCCCAGCTGTTAAAACATGCTGAACATAGTCCTCATCATTGTATATTGAAGTGTAAGACCATACAAAGTCTTGGTGATGATTGATAGGAACTTGATACTTGATAGATATAGATAGTTGGTTTTGTTGTTTGTTAGTTGTTGCAGCTGGTTAGTAGTCATTTAAGAAGTAAGTTGGAAGTTTGTTAGTATGAGTTAGTAGTGTAAATAGGGGGTTTAGTTGCTGATCAGATGATGTTTGGAATTCAGATTTGTGGGGATCTTAAGGAAACCTTGGGGAGAGTTTCAGCCTCTCAAAGGCTTCTATCTTTGCATCTGAATTGTTATATTTCTTGGTTTAGTCAATAAAATCATTCTCTATTCTGTGTGATTTCTGCTCTGTTTAATTAGCTAGGTCCCTAACAACGATGAATAGAATTGTTCTTTGAAATAGGTGAGTGTATCTTGGTGCTTCTGAAACAATCAACAATGATTATTTAAGTGTTTCATCTTTTTTCATTTCTGAAGGAAAAAAAAATATGAAAGACATGTTTTTCATCTTGCTTATTATGGGACCTTTTCTGTTAATGCTCTAATTGTTTTGCCTGCAGAGTTATATATATGCCCTGATTTGTCACTGATTTGTTGAAGTTCATATGTTTTGTTGCTTGTTTTTATTGAATAGGTTATTCACCCTATACATGACCAGACAATGTATTTGACTATGGAGCACAAACGGAAGCTTAAGGAGGAATATGGTTAGTTCATTATGGAGCAATCCATACAGATCAGTTGGATTCTTTTCTGTTGTTCATTTTACATACGTGAATGCTATCTCACAGGGATTGAACCGTGGACCTTTGTCCAAAAACTTGGAGATGCTGTCTTAATACCTGCCGGCTGTCCTCATCAAGTTAGAAACTTGAAGGTAATTATCGATTAAAAGTGTAGAAGAGAGGAGAATCAAAGGGAAGATTTAATATGAAGATTAACAGATGATGACAATGTTTCCTTTCTTAATCGATCATTTTTTTCTTCTTTTTTTTTTTTAAAGATTTTTTGAGATTTATAATTTCTTCCAAATGCCTCCTTTTGTGGACTAATTATTGAAAATAGGATAGGATCTTTAACCCGTATTATCTTGAGATTGATATAAGAACAATTAGATTGTAAAGTTTTTGATTGTATTTTGTTGGTCTTGGCTTTTATGAAAACAGTCGGATAAGTTCTTAAAAATAATTAAAATATTAAGGATGACATCAAAAGTTTTATGCTTTTAACATGACTAGTCCGACTTTCATACATAGACTAAGGACAGTTTACTTCACATGAAAGAGAGAAAAGGAGTGGTTCCATCCTATATAGTCAAGTGTTTGCTTACAAAAGCATTAGTTTGGTGCGGCCCTCACAATGTAAGGAGGGAATTCGGCTCCTAGTACTCTCCTTGGTTTTGCTACCTGGTTAATGGTCATGAACATCAAACTTGCTTCTATACCTTTGTCAAGTTTTTTAAATAACACCAAACCCTCCTGTGTCTCGCCCATTTCTTTTAATCATGTAAAACGGACATTTTAGTTATTATATTGATATGTTGATAAGATTCATTTTCCTATGTTTAGCGGAAAGGGAATTAGGCAATTTTTCATTGCACTTCATTTTCCTGTTCATTTATTCCTTGCTTGATAATCTTTGTATAATTGATCTTAACTGTTTTTGGTGCATACATGCAAATGTAACTTTTTATCCTTACGAATATTTAAACATAATGCTGTTATTATATGCTGCTTTCACCAGTCCTGCATAAAGGTTGCACTTGACTTTGTCTCACCTGAAAATGTTGATGAGTGTGTTCGGTTGACGGAAGAATTCCGAACACTCCCTTCCGGTCACAAGGCTAAGGAGGACAAATTGGAGGTACGTCATTTGACAGATTGCGTGTTCAAATATTTATATTAGCATATATTGGGTCAGGGTAGTGGTGGTTAAGTCTCCCTCCCTTCCCTTTCCTTTATTATTAATAAAGATTGTTTCTTTTTTTTTTTTTAAAGCATATATTAAGCGGGTCATGGTTTTTGTGGACTGTTGTACTGTCGGTGGTTTACATTTAGATTTGCAATCAGCCCATAATATAGCACATTATATGTATCCCTATCCAAGGGCTTTCCAAAGGGACTAACTGCCGAGACTGTCTTTTTTACATTGCATAATGCGAGCCAATATTTTTGACGAGGACCTGTTTGAAATTTCTTAAGAGGTTTCAATATGCCATTCTTGGAACAGGTGAAAAAGATGGCCCTCTATGCGATGAAGGAAGTTGTGGAAACTTTGTATCCAAAACAAAGGTTAGTGGTTAAAAACTTTTGCTACCTGCATTTGAAGGTTGTTCTGAGGCTTAGCTTAAGCTCTGAAATGCTTATACTTGAAAAAAATGTGCTAGTTTTTTGAATCGTATGCTTTCCCAACCAATTAATTGGTTTTCGAGGTGTGTTGACAAATTTGGATACAGGGAAGCTTTGTAGCTTGCTTTGCCTTCTATGTTGCCTTTTTCACAAGTATTTTGGCAGAAAAATCCATCTGAACCTAAACTTGAACTGTCTTTGATGTTAAACAAAATGTAGAAAGAAAACTTATACTTTAGCCTTATGATACAATTTTGTTGAATTTTTGACATTGTTAAAATAGGATGATAGGAGAAATCTGGCTTCTTTTTTTCGCTTCATTCTATTTGAATATGCCAGGTAAAACAAGTGTCTTTCTTTCTCAGGTCTAAGAGAAAGCGAAATGAGGAAAAGGGAAAGAAGGGAAAAGGGAAAGGAAAAGTTGTCTAAGAAGACGGAGCCCTAGTTGTATTTAACATAAGTAATTACCATACTTTCGACCGGGTACTCTTTTTGGCGTGGTGTATATCCTCTCTATAAAAACTATCTTCTCTACTATCCTTTTGCAGTTGCTGCTCTCCGTTTTTGCCCAGTAGTCTGGATTTTGGAGAGTTTATGACTGATACAATGAAAAGTTACATCGTTGTAAGAACTTCCTTTCGTAGAAACAAACACTTTGAAGCAATATAATTCTACGATATCTTTTGAAAGAATCTATATTGATCATATAGTTATCGTTTCAATTAGTTGCATGTGAAGTTGTGGTATTAAAAAACACCAATACTTTCTAATATGATAATAATTAAAAATTAATAACAAAAAAAAAAAACCATTTGAATTGTATTTTACATATTTTAAAGGTCAAAATTGTGAGTTTAAAGTTTTTTTTTTAAAGGTTTTTCCCTTTGTTATGTTTTTATTTAAGGGTATTTTAGGTATTCTAAAGGATAAAATTGAGGGTTGATTGTGAAAATGTATATATTTTGGTATTAAATATAATTTAAAGGTGTATATTTAATAAGATTTAAAATTAAAAGTATAGTTTTTAAATAAATTTAAAACACGAGATATAAAAAGATAAATATCCCTATTTACATTTGCGTTTGTATGCACATGGGTTTTTTAAGCTATTGCTGACAAGAGTTGAAGATTAGAGGATTTTTTCTAGTAGTATTTATAAAAATGACAATCAATAGTCCTTTATTTTTTAGTTGTTAAATTTGTATCTGTCTTTTATGCATATTTTTTTAATTTAATGTGATTTTGATAAGATATAATGATTAAAAAATAAGAATACCGATAGAGTGGACTTAAGATTGTGTACATTTTTTTTAGGTTATTTACCTTTTCGTATCTTACATTTAAGTTTATTTAGAAAGTTATACATTTGATTTTTGATTTCATCAAAAAGTATACTTTCACATTTTATTTAATATACAAATTCATATCTTATACAAGTCAACACATATTTTGACTTCAAAAATGAATAAAGTGCCCTTCAAAATAACAAATAAAGCTCTTAAAAAACGTTTTAAGAGAAGAATATGAGGAGAGAAAAATCCTCTTTTAAGATTTTCTATTTTTATATAGTTTTTTGTAAGGCTGGTTATATGGATTACGACATGATAACACGACTAAAAAATGACATGAATTTCATGGGTTAGGGTTGAGAAAAAAGAAGTTCGGGTCAGAATTAGGTCGACCTGAAATTGACATGAAAAACATGGGTCAATTTCAGATTGGACTTGTCTAACTCGAACACGACATGAAAAAAAATATTTTTCATTACATATTTTAAATTTTATTATGAACTTGTTATATCATGACATTTATACTAAAAATCATATACTATTATTTGTTTAATTTTGATAAATGTCATTGTATTTTAGCACGTTATGAATTTTAAGTTATTTTTAATATGTAAAAAACTAAAGAAAAATATATAAATTTCGTGTCAATTTCGGGTTCATAGGTCTATTTCGTAACACGGACTATTTTCGTGTCGTGTCAACTCGTAAAGTGGTCGTGTCGCGTTCGTGTTGCGATTTTTAAAAAATTTCGTGTTATGTGTAGTGTTCGGGTTAACTGCAAATTAAAAAAAAAGGACTAAAACACGACATGAATACAATACATGACATTAATTGCCACCCCTTGTTTTTTGAAGATTTTATTTATTTTTCTTTCTTGTATTTAAGGGGACTTTGGATATTTTTTAGGTCAAATTAAGTTTTGATTGATAAAAAATATAAATTTGTATATTAATGAAATTTTAAGCTATACTGAGATTAAAAATAAAAAATATACTTTTTAAATAAATCGAGAACCTCTATGGTGGCACCACCCACTTTAATCGCTGCATTAATTATTCAACGGTTAGATATGTATAAGTCCATAATGAAAATTTAATATGCGTCACATAAAACTACGTTGCTATTGGTTGCTGTAGATCTGACCATTGAAAAATCAATTCAACAGGTAAAAGTGAGTTTCAAAACTTAATCCAAGTTTTTTATCCAAGGTTTATTTTTTCCTTTTGTTTTTGAATTTGAGATTTAATCTCAAGTTAAAAAGGGGAAACAATATGAATAATTTCGCTAGCATATAGTTGTTATAGTTGATAGTTGATATGGAAAAAGAATATTCGTCCTCATTCGACATTCATACAAAGAAAACTATCTAAATAGATTTCAATATGTATAATATTATATATATAGGCTTTTCTTTCGGTTCCTCCCCGTTCCTTCAACGGAACGTTTAGTTATAAAAGCGTATTATAATAATTATTAATTGTAATATTAACGTTGTAAAGAAATAACAGTTTTTAAATGAATAAATTTTTTAATATTATTTTTTTTTAATATTAATGTTACGTTTATAATTATCATATTATATTTTAATAATTACATATTACGTTAAAGAGATCTCCTTACAAAACAAAAAAACCCATCTATATGTTTATGTGTGTGTATATATATTATATGCTTGTAAATCCTTCTCTTGTCAACGTAAGATTGGGAAGAGTATATAAAAATGTTATTTACAATTTTTAAATTATAGGAATATTATATAGTACTTTTATTCAAACGTCCATGCATTCGTACATGGCTAATAATACTTTCGATTATCCGAACGATAAAAAGAAAAAAAAAACATAAAAACAAGAAAAAGGTTTTTTTTTAAATTTTTTTTTATTTTTTTGTAAGAGCCCATTAAATTTTACTTTATTGACAAATTAGTTTCGGAACTAAAAATGTTTACAATTAACTAAATTTTTTTACAATTAACCCCTTTAATTTTATAGGCATCGTTCATTTAATTGATTTAAGTTTTCAGTTTCATATTTCTATAGTTAAAAACTCTTAGAAAATGTCATATCTAATTTTTTCTGCTACATTTAAAAACTCTCAAAATATGTCACATCTCAACTCGAATTAAAAATTTAAATTCATGAAGCGAACAAGGCCATAATCTTTGCATAACAGGTTCAATAGAAAACGTATGTTAAATGTTGGATGGTTTTTCACATGAGATCTAAACGTGCCGTCTAGGAAGGGCATGGGTGGTCATTTTACCAAACGAAAAAGCAGCTACTGCAATTCTAGGGCTATCATGATTTCAAAAAAAAAAAAAACTCCATGGTTACTCTGAGATCAGTTCAATGGCTCTTAGAAAACAATTCCAAACTTTCATATATAAATTCGGTTGAAAAACGATGAGTTACCAGCTAAATTTTTTAAATTTTTATTGATTACGATGATACTAAATAACATAAATACTAAAAATCTAAATCATACATTTGGAGAATTTAAAAACTGCACATCTGACAGATTAATGGGTTCTAAACAGCAACTAGAACAGTCTCAACCAACTGGTCTTTTTTCCTTTTCTCATTTCTATGATCGTAGTGCAAATGGGCCCACATCATTCAATCTCCTTTTGATATCTTGAACTCCTTCCAACCACAAGAGAGTCAGAGGAAAAATAGATCTTGAAAATTGATCAGTTTTTGCTTTCAAGAACCCTATACTAATAGCCCCCCAAAAGTCTGTCAAGTGATCAAATAAATGATGAGACTTACTGGGTTATTTATAGAGTTTAGGAAGTCATATTCCAACAACAATTAGGGTTATTGAAGCCTAAATCGTGTAATTAATCTAATTGAGTCAGTTTTGCCATGTCAACAGACACAACCGATCGACCGGTTGTATAGCCCTTATAAATGCATCACTCAACCGGTCCCAACACGAAACTTGTACAAAAAGTTACGTTATGGTCGACCGGCCTCCATCACAGGTCAACTGGTACTGTTTTCATTTCCAATTTTATCATTATCCAATATGGAAAATTTACACAAAGTCTCAGGTTTAATTCAAATAACCCAATATAAAAGTTACTTGATTAAAACAGTCATGTAATAACTTTCACATATTAAATAAAACTAAAAATAATAATTCAACCAATTTATTTTGAATTAATTCAACAATTAATTTAATCAAATAATTTGCTCTTGAAATTAGTCACTGATCTCACACTTTACTTTGAACCTTTAGCGAAAATAACATAAGTTACCAATATGTAGTAAATACATCATATCATTAAAGAAAAGTATATGAGCTAGCGAAGAAATCCGATGGACATATATGGATCAAGAGCCTATAATCACGATAGTACTTATTCACCAATAAGTTCATCACATAATTATAAACTCTAGTGCTCTTCCACTAAAAGCCTAAACCTGCACTCTTAATCTATATAGTATATTTACGAAGCTCCAATTAACTCTCGTCCGTGACTTATTATATTAGTGTATCACTCCCATAGGATATTCATAATCGACTTCAGATCAAGTTTTGTTTTACCTTCCTGATTATCTTTATCTTATGTTCCATTATTACTCTATTAGAAAAATCACTATTTGTACAAATACAAATAGTAAACCATTAGATAATACAAAATAGTATGATGGCCTTACGCTGCATTTTTCAATCCACAGATAATGTTATAAGAGAATATTATTAACTCTTTGTAGCAACTATGAATTTCTGATTATATTTATTATTGATTATTTGTAAAAGCTATGAATTCCCAGTTACATTTATTACTGTCTCTTTAAAGACATTGTTACATTTATTTTTAAGGGCATAAACTCTAAGAAATTCTTCTTTACTTTTCCTAAACTTTTCTCTTGTTGCTATATGAGGATCAGATAATAATCATAATATTAAAATCCGATTCTTTCCTTAAAAAAAAAAAAAAAAAAAAAACCAATTTGATCTCTAATCCCACCAACTTCAAAAAACTAACTTATACCCAGATGCTGTTTTTACATGATAATTAAAATCCAAAAAATATCTCCAGAAGATCAAATCAGATTACAAATCCTTTTACATTGGAACTCATAAAATAGTCACTTTATCTCTCTGGTGTTTTCGCTGATCCAATTGGTTTCTCGCTCTAGAATTGTTGTTGCTTTCTCTCTCTCTCTAGGTGATAGAGGGTTGAGAAAGGGAAAAAGGGAATATGAGATTTTTTTGTGGGATCACTTTCTCTCGCAATGTGTTTTTTCCGTCTCAGTTTTTTTTCCCCTTATTGTGGAGGGAATGAGTGTTGTTTTCCGAAACGATTTTAAATGTGGAAGCGAATAGACGTGAATTATTTATAATTAAAATTTTTATAAAATTTTTAAAATACTCTATAAAAAATATTAATTTATACGCAAATAAATTAATCTAATTAATTTATTTAACGAACGATTAGGTCGATAACTTGATTTTTCTGACCACGAACGGTCCTCGCTCCAAGCTATCAAGACATACCCGAATCTTTCTCGTCTAGTCCTTGATACCTGCAAGGCCTAGAGTGTGGGCTCTAATTTAGAATTAAGGCAATTGATTACTCGCTAATTTGTCTTCCACTAATATCAACACATGTATGAGGTGAAACCGGGAATGAAAGAACTTTATCTCCTTTTTTTCTCAAGTTATACGGATGTCACTAGAATGTTACATGACTACCAGTAGGATGTTACACAACTATAACTACAGTGTTACACGTCTATCACATAGGAAGAGCAAAAATTGTGCTCTCTAATTTTCTATTACCTGTCACGACCCCAAAGATAGGACCGTAATTATTGGGGTTTAATTTAAAACTTAATTAAATTGGGTTAATTAACGAAAATCTATGAAAATGAATATAAAATATATAAATACCAAAATATATTGCTCCCGAATCTTTCTTTTACAAATATTATCAAAATAGTCCATAAACTCAAACTTTATATAACTCTGGGACAATGCCGACCAATAAAATTTATATACAAGTATACAATACATCACAAAATTTAAAAACAAACCGTAAATTCAAAGTAGCACGAACCACTTCTAAGCTAGAGCCTTCAATCCAAAGATATCAACGTACTACGTTGCAAGTCAAGCTGCTAACTTTGGAGGGGAAAAACATTTTAAAATAAAAAGGGGTGAGCCGAATGCTCAGTAGGAAGGAAACAAGGTACAATAATAAAATAAGAATAGAGACGATAGTTACAATAACTGAAATATCGATTAAAAACCATAACACATGTAAAAGAAGTCGGCTCAAACCTGTGAGTCTTAGCAGACACCATCAAATGCAGAATGGGACAGATAATCAAGTATCTCAAAACTCCTTTAAAATGCTATATTGTTCTCAAATTCATTTCAAAGTGATAGGACATCTATCACCGGTATAATCCACAAATACTAGGTATTTGTATTTCTGTTCAACTTAAGAACACCCAAGTAATAAAAAAAAATAGAAGAAATGTAAACATCATACACCGATCGGTTGAAATGCTCTTTCAAAGTACCGATACATCATATAGTGCAAGTGTAAAGCCAAATCACCGCCCACGCTGTGGAGTTGCCTGTATGAGTTTCAGGAACTGAGTTTCAGGAACTGCCCCCAAGGATATGATCTCCATATCCCGATCTCTGTGGCCATCATGCTTAATTAATGAATCAACTATCTAAACGCGCACATGGACAGCGTTTAAACACTTACATATATCATTATTGAATTATTTCAATTCGAGATTAGTTCTTTTTCTAAAATTCACTTCTAAGAGCCATGCTTCTGGGAGTCAGGTTTTCGAGAAGATTTTCTATACAAATGTGATAGTTACACACGCACACACATATATTCTTTTCCGAACACCATTTAAAATTCTCAACATCAGTGAAAACTAATTTTTTACTGAGAAATAAAAATTCACAAAATATATTCAAAAGGGTGGGAATTGCAACCTTATGTTCAAATAAGGTCAAAACTCAAGAAACATGGAAAATTTGGCTAAAAATCAAAATTTTCAACATAATTGGGCGGAAATAAGTGTCACCGGTCAACTGGTGATAGTGAAATACAACACCACTAGTCGACTGGTGGTGTGTAGTTCGGTCGCCTGCACTGGGTGATCGGTGCTGTTATTTAGATATGAACAACTTGACAGTTTTGCGAGGAAAAATACAAAAAACCTAAACTTTTGGGTTTGATTTAAAAATAACTCATGGGAAACCACTCTAGACAATTTCTAAACACCAAATCATGGTTAGAGAACTAAAACTCACATGTAATCCACCATATTTCTCAAGTTCAAAACCTCTAACTATCAAGAAAATTTAAATTCTAGAACTCCATCTTCTAAATTTCAAAAATTCAACCAATTCAAGAGGAATTCCATGATTTCAAGGGTTATTCATCAATATCCTTTCATTAATCTCCAATTCAATCATAAACAACATTTTCCATCATGGAAATGCTCAGAAGTTTATGCTGTTTGTATACATATATTGTCTTCCCCTTTATGCTTACCGTCTTTTGCTTTATTTTTATTTCGCTCTCAGACTATTACAGTCTATCTTCTCTGCTTTCTCTCTTTTCTTCAGTTTTGAATAGTGCATCTTTTTTTTTTGGGTTGTCTCTCTTTTCTTTAGTTTTGAAGACTCATGCTTTCTCCAACTATTTACAAAACAATATATGTAAGATACTCTCTGTCTTACAAATTTGACGTTAATTTTTTGCCTAATGCATCATTGAAGCCATGTTTTCTCTAACTCACTGTAAAAGATATGCAACTTAGATATAAAATTGTGAATAGTGTAACTAGTCCTTGCTATATAGACTAAAATTTAGGATGTGAGGATCCTTCACGTTGCTAGCTAGATTTATTCCTCGCACAATTGGATTCATGACAAGGTGCACTTTAGTACTTAAGTTGAAGCTTTACTATTCTTTTTTCTATTCGTATGCTTCAACTAATTGTAATGCTTCATTTATAGGTTAAATGGTGCAAGTTTCTGGAGGGGTTGAGCATTTTTTGAGGCTGGATCATGGGTGTTTGGTATAAGGATTCGTGCTATGATTTGAATCATGATTCGTAACTCATTACAGTATTTTCTCTTATAAAAAATATACGTAAAATGAAAATAGTTCTGAATCATAGTTCTGAATCCATAAACCAAACGTTTTTGCGCTAGAAATTTGGGAACGCCTTGCTCTCTACTAAGCTAATTAGTTGGTTTTTAGATTCAGTAAATATAGTTCGATGTTATGTCCTCTGTGTTGTGGATTAACATTTGGTACAATGCTTTATATTATTTACAAGTTGCCAACTTACAAACAGGGATAGAGTCGACGCTATGTAAATTATAAATGAGGGGTATTTTAGTCTTTGCATTTAAAAATAGAAGAGAAATAAATTAAAATAAATTCAATTCTTATACCGGGGTTATTGATTAGCAGGAGCACCCTTTGGATCCGAGTCTCAGAGCCCACCACTTTCGCAGGAGGAGGAGAGAGGTAGAGAGACCGAGAAAATGTCGAAGAAGAAGGTGAGTGGCAACACCATGACGCTCAAGGACTTCCATGGCGGTTCAATTCCTTCCGATCTCTCTCTCCCTTCCGCTCCTGGTGTGTAAGTCCCTTTTCCCTAATCCTATTCCTCATTTCCATCAATTTCCCATTTTCTATGTGAGATCTTAGGGTTTTTCCTGATTTTGAAATGGTTCGCTTGGGTTTTCGGCTTATCGTGTGATCGTTGTGTGAAGTTTTCTGGTTGAATGGCGAATTTATGGATCCGCAGCTAGTGACCCTAGTTTGACTGTTCTTCTCAAAGTTTAATTGGAAAGAAATGGAAGTCTTTGTGATTGTTTTGATATGGATAAATAAGTGTTTGTGTGCTTTGGAATTAAGTAGAGCATTTTAATTTGATTTGTTTGAAATTGCCCTGCAGCATCGTTAGGCCTTCAGATCGTCCCGGTTATGAGCGATCGGCGGCGTGGGGGAACCAGATGGGTCGGGCTGATCACCGCTCCCGACCGCACACCTCTCCGGCGTCGAGGCATTTAGATGATAAGGCTCCTTTTCTCACTCATGCTGCGCATATCGGCAGGAACTTTGATGAGGATGAGCGCAAGCCTCTCGATGGTGTGGTTGCCCCAACTCGTCCTGAGCCGAGACAAGAGTCTGCTTCTGTTGGAGGTTTATGGGGCCGACAGGGAGCAGCTCCAATGTCCCAAGTGAATTCACACTCGGGGAGGGTTGCTGAGGCGAGTTTGGATACCAATAATGGGCAGGGTGTTGGTGGTGCTTATCCGAACGTTTGGGTGGCGAGGAAGGAGGCGGCAGGTATTACTGAGCGGCCGCAATCACCATGGTCTGCGCCAATGGCTGTTTCGAAGCTGGCTCACGCTAGTGCGCTTGAAAAGGTTTCATCGGGCAGATGGCAGTCGAAGCATTCTATGCATCAGAGTGATGCTGAGCTTGTGAGAGCTTCCGAAACAGAAAGCGGTTCACAGTCCAAGGACTATGGTAATAATGCCTATAACAAGATAGATGCAATTGGTGTGGTAGAAAGTTATGATGCAACCTTGGCTGGGCATGGGAAAAGGGTTCTGAATGTTGATGACTACGTTCATGGTGGTAGGAAGGAGTTTCCTGATTATGAGAGGACCAGAGCTCCTGTTAATTCAGAGGTAAAAGAAAAGAACCTAACAAACTATAGGGACAGTGGTGAACCGGATCGAGCTAATGAAAAGTTTGGTGGGATTGAAGTGCAGACCTCAACGTATGTACAACCATCAGAACGGCCTAAGTTGAAGTTACTTTCAAGAACAAAGCCACTAGAGAGTGTGGAACATACCGTTGCTGATCATATTCAGGTAGTTCTTGAGTAAGCAAAAGAAGATAAAGATTTGACTGTGCATCAGTGTTTCAAGTTCTTAGTATTTGGTTGATTGAAATTTGCAGGGGCATCAAAAGGTGACTGAATCTGTTCATACTGAAAGTTTTAACGAAGCACATGGAAATTTGAATCCTCCGAAGTTTGGTATAGCTCATACTGAGAGTGAGAAGCAGGCCGTAGAGCGCCCAAAGTTGAAATTGAAGCCCCGGTCTCAGCCTGCTGAGCAGTCGGAAGGAAATGTTGAAAGAGGCAGGTTAGTGATGGGAGTTTGCGATTTCAAATTCTTCGTGATACTTTGACTGTGGGTTGTTTGACTATTACTAATGTATGTTACATCTTATTCAAATGGACATTAAACGATATAAAGCTAAAGAAAAGATAAGCTCATGTTTGGTTCAACAACTCAAACCCAACAATTCAATTAAAACCATAGTTAGGATTCAAATTGATGTTTGGTAGGGAATTAAATGAGGACAATTCAAACCATTGAAAATGATTCAAACCCTTAATTTTAAAATTTACACGCCTCCCTAAATTCTAACCATTGGATTTGTTTTCTACAGTGAAAATAATGCAGATCTTACTTTTCTCTCTCCTCAACTTCAAGCTTAAAAATGCTATAACTTCTTCGTTCCAATTCCGATTGAGATATATTTTCTTTTTCAATGTGTTCATAATGAAGAGAGTAACAAATCCTCATCCATATTGCATATTTTTTATTGTCATTTACAATGGGATTTTATAAGATTTATTACAAAACTCTAATGACAGTTTTTAATGCTTTATTCAGTTCGAATCGCAATTTAAATCACCAAAATTCAAACCAAATCACACAATCCTAACGGCAAACCAAACAAGGCGTAAGGTTGCTTATTGTTTACAACCATATGAAATATAAAATGCAGAGGCTAATGATGGAGTTGTATTATGCATCATGACTCAAGGGTGAAATGCATAAACAAGATTCTCACATGCTTGTAGTATGCCCTGTTATCTTATGTTCTTATGAACATTTAGTTGTTTATTTGGTCTATTTATTTATTTTTTTCCGTTGGAAACAAATTGATATTTGAATCTCCCCATCTCATAATTGGCCTGGATGGTCCTGGTGTTTGGTGAGTATCTTCTCAAATGTTAAGCTGAGGTATTCCTTTGTTATCCTCTTGCGTGACATTGCCCCTCTTTCACCCTACTTTTGAAGGTGTGATGAGACTTTAGTTACATTAACTTCCAAGATTAGTGTGCGGCCATAGTAGTTTGACTTTGCCATCTATCTTAATTTTAAATATTCTTTTCTCCTATTTTCATTCCCTTTTAGAGCAACATTTTGATCAACCCAGAAATGCATCTATGTGCTGCACGAGATCAGGCAGTGTGAAACTTGTATTTATTGTTGCTTTGCTAGATTAACTATTTCATTTTAAGATGAGGTTTAATTTAATAATATACGAGGAGCGAATAGGCACGTGGCACGTGATTTAAATCTTAGAAGGGGAGGATTCGGGTGACAGCTTTACAGCCCTTGATGGTTGGTAACAAGAATATGCAGCTGTGTGGTGTGTCATCAGTTTTTGCACGACTCTTTTGTCTGCAAGTGTGATGTTATTTCGTCTCTCTGTCTGTAGCTGCCATTGGCTACAGATCTGTTGTCTTATGTACTAAAGTTGGACTAAGAAGCCAAATGCAGAAATGATGTGTTACGGTTTAGTTGTCTGACTTTGTAAGGAAAATTAATTTCGTATATTCCTTCATTTCAGATTGGGAAATCAGTATTTACTTCAGATGGAGAAATCATTATTTCTGCTTGTTTCACTTTGTTATTGATTCCACATTCTCTGTTACATCTTCGTATCATGCAGATTGAATATAGTGAACTTGTTTTATATGTGGTTCTGAATCAATTTTTGTATCGTACCTACACATTTTCTGTTGTATCTGTCGTCAAATATTATAACGCATAATACTTCACTTGTACTATGATGAACCCCCAAAATAGTAATGGCCCGTTTTGGTACTTACCTCTGATGCTGTTTCTGATTGATGCAGGAATTTATTGTTTGGTGGTGCTCGCCCGCGAGAACTAGTGAGTGCTTTTGCTTTAACTGCTTATATTGTTATCGTTGAACAAATTGCTATTTGAAAATAATGTGATACTTCAGTCACAAATGTAGAGTTTGGATCTTGTTGCACCCGCCTTCTCTACTCCACCCTCACTCTCCTCTTAACCCTCTCTTTCTCTTTGTTCTTTCATTAATCTGCATGGATATATCGTAAGAGTCATGTTTGGAAACCCAAGAGTAATCTCAACATTTTAGGCTTTTGTATGTTTTCTGACTGCTATTTGTTATTTTGTAAATGGGGAAAATACATAAATTAAAATGTGGGAATTTACCAATGAAAGAGTAAAAATTCACTGTTGCGTCATTTTGTATGAAAAAATTGGGCTAGCTTTGTGATCAAGAGTGGGGTGGGTCAATTTTGGCATGGTTGGGGTTGGACCTCGTAATTACAACAATATTGGGCCTAGTTCTGGTGCAATGGTGGTTGGGCCTCAAAATTCCAACACGTTTAGGACTGGGTATAGTAAGTGTGGCTGGGTAGGAAGCAATTGGTGACAGAGAGGCTGAAAGGATGAAGACCTTGTTAGCTGAGAAGGAAACTTCTTTGTTAATGATGGAGTATGTTTTACCTTGCTGTTATTGGTATCATCTGCGTTCCCTGCTAAATGGTGTTCCTTACCCTTCTTTCTCAGGTTCTGAAGGAGAGAGGGGTTGATGATGTTGCACTTAACCATGACTTGGTTCAACATCCTGAAAGGTATTATTGTTATTCGCATTTTTCTTTTCTTTTTCTCTCAAAACAAATCATTTTGCCATTATTTGTATGAATCTTAATTTTTGTAGGGTTGAACATCATGTGCCAAGGACTGAGAGAATTTCTGGGCGTCCAAATGCATCGCGCTACAGTGAAAGAACGGAGAATCCTGCTCTTGATCAAAGGTTTGGAAAGAAATCTGAGAGGAGGGATCATGAGATGAGAACCGAGAATCCTGCTCTTGATCAAAGGAGTGGAAAGAAAACTGAGACAAAGAATCACCGGGTAGATGATGAGAGAATTGATACGCAGAGAAGGAACTGGCATAGTGAGAACTGGAAGAATAACCGAGATACAGAGAAGCAGCAGCAGTTGGAGAGGGCGCCATCGCCAGAGACTTGGCGCAAGCCTGTTGAGCAGCCTAAACCAACATTTGGAAAAGCAGCTTCTGCCGTCGAGCTTGCCCAAGCATTCTCTAGATCATCAATCTCTGAACCGACTAATCGACTTTCTGGCCAAAGAAGTCTGCCTAGCCGCGCTCAGTCTCAGATACCCTTCTCCCGCTTGATGGGCGGTCCAACACCAAGGCCTCAGATAAATGGCTACTAAAGCACATTTCGTTTTATTTAATAATTTTTCCCCTTGGAAAAGAGCACATTGCCCTTGCCATCGCTTCAATTAGATATGCCATAATGCAGAAAAAATGAAAGTAACAGGCATTTTAAATTTTAATGAGACGGAAAACACACCGAAAAACAGACAACATTCTTAATGAGTATCAGGAAAAAAGAAATGGTTTGTTTGAAACCGAAAAGCCAATAAAAGGGTCCATATGATAATTCAGAGCAATATATTATTCTAATTCATGTATGTACAATTATAATGTTGAATGCTTACTTTGTTGAGAAAATCTTGACCTTCGAGTGTGATCGAGCTTGAACGGCGGGAGACTCCGAGTGAATATTCCGCAAAAATTGGCGGCACAAGTAACGGAAAAGAAGGGCACCGTCTGAATGCTTAGTCGAACAATAATTTTTCAAAAAAGAATAAAATTTTTGCTGTGCATGGACCATGCACAATTTCATCTGCTTCAATCTATTTCTCGATACCGTTCTCATTAATCTTAGAGCTTAAATAATAACCACGGCCAAAGATAGAGAAATCAAATGGTTTAATTATTATTATTATTATTATTATTTTTTTTTTTTCACTTCAATCTTATTATTTTAAGCGAATCAGACAAAATTAATGATATTTTCACATACGAAAGATGGGGCGTGCCAAATATTGCAGAACAAACAAATATGGCTAGACTTAATTAGAGGTAAACTAAGTACCATGGCCAAAGATGGAGAAACCAGGACTCATTTTAACTAACAAAAAGCATAACATAATTTGATAGACAAGAATTAACATAACATACTCTATCGTAACGTATAGTATTAACATTAATATTAACTCATATTTCAACTATTTACAGAAATTTCTACTTTGACTGGGGCGGAGTAGGCACGTGACGGTGTGGAGTAGAATGATAGGATACCGGCTCTGATACCAACTGTGACGACCCTACTAGATGATCGTCACCGTAGCTTAAATTAACTTGTACTTGTTGGAATTTCTAAAAATTTACGAAACATTTTTTTTTTTAAAGTCTTATAGTAGACATAAGTTACGAATTGCTTTGTTGATTAAAATATTCAAATCTTAACATATCTGTTTCTCAAAGCATATAGATATATCTATATGTATATATTTAATCCTTAAGTCTTGCTTACTTACAGCTAGTGCTAAAACTTTGGACGGGCCGCCTGCGACCATTGAAAAGTCTGAATTTTCGCCCGATTACCGAACCTGAACTGCCCGAAAATTCAGGCTGCCCGACCCGACCTGAATTTTTTCTTGGACGGGCTTCGGGCAGCAATTGGCTGCTCGTGCCCGGTCGGGCTGCCTGTTGCCCGACCGCCTGCCTAAATTTTCAAAAAAATTTTATATTATATTTTTATATTGTATAATTTATATATATATTACAAGTTGAAATTTAGAATGAACACACGAACTATATAAAAAAATTATTTCTTTATTGATTTTTAAATTTGTAATTCATGATTGCCTCATTAAAAACCTTACCAAGAAAAACCCAATTGGATAAAAACTTGGTAAGGAAAACAGAGTGCAATCATTGTGGGATGAATTATAAATTTGACGAATTTACAAAGTCTATACAAGATTACAATAACACTATACAAATTAGAAATTACAAAGTAAAAAACTATTTACAAATTACAATAATAAAATTTAATTTGAAGCAGAAGGATCGTCTTGAAAATTAAAAGTTAATCTATTAAATTCGTCGATCCATTCTTGGCTTGCCGGTGAGATTGTATCGTGTAAGCGTTGGTCAGAACGGTCCCAATCCTTGATGCACACCAAAGCTTCAACAATATGATGTTGCAATGCATTTCTCCGTTCTTCAAGTATTCAGCCGGTTGTAATGAATGCTTGTTCGGCTGCAACAGTGAAGACCGGGATCAAAAAAATATCCATTGCCAATCGTGTTAGGATCGGTCAAGTTAATGCTTGTGCCCTCCACCACTCAACCAAATCAAACATTTCACTATTGTCTACAACTAAGCCCTCACTCAGGTACACCATTAACTTGTTAAATCCGACACTGTTGCCGCCACCTCTTGAAGAAGATCCACTCCCAGATTCTTCTTGACCTTGAGTCGTCGTCTTCTTCTTCTTCTCAGACAACCCGAAAACATTCAAGAATGAATGTGGATTGTCGTCTCGTTGTTGCGGTTGTTCAACACGAGGTGTGTTTCTAAACCTACTTTCGTAAGAGATATAGAGAGAAAATATTTTTTTCTTTATAATAGAAAATTGGTCAGTAGTGTCGATAGTTAAAAATTCACCTAAGTTATCTAATCCACTTTCTAAACCTTCTAATTTTAATCTAGGGTCAAAAATAACACCGAAACCATACAACATGGGTAATTTAAACTATTATTTCTTAAACTTCTTTTCCATAGAGGCGATAGGAACTCCTAAAACCTCGTGTGTCCTAAATTCACTAAATAAAATAGACATTCTTAAAAGTTCTCTTAACGCTAATGGTGACGTTGGGTAATAAGTTCCACTAAGCTTTAAGGTAACTTCGTGAAATCTACCTAAAATGGTATACAAGAGTTCGGCAATTTGCCAATCAGTTTCATCGATAAATCATTGTCCTAATTTTGCACTAACATAATTTGTTATAGCATCTTTATAGGGGATGCATTATTCAAGCATTATGTAAGTGGAGTTCCATCATATGGGCATATCTAAGGCCAATGCTCTAAGATTTTGATTACATGCTTATAGAAATCTAAACCAATATTGTACTATTTGATTACTGCCTTGAATCCAAGCAATGTTATCTCTAATTCTTTTAATATGACCTGACATTGATTTTAAACCAGATTTTACTATTAAATTAATTATATGACATGCACATCGTTGGTGAAATATATCATTATTACCGAATAAACTTAAATCATTTTCAAAAAGTTATATTGCTTTAGTGTTTGCAGTTGCATTATATAATGTTATGGCCATTATTCTATCTCTTAAACTATATTTATTAATGACAGATAAAATTGTGTTATATATTAAATTGGCAGTATGTGATCCTATAACACATTTAACACCTAAGATTCTCTTATCTAAATTAAAACCTTTATAATAATGTCTGGTTACCGCTAAATAATCTTTGTTGGCAACGGATATCCGCCGTTAACGCAACGCAACCACTAGTAGAGTGTAGAAGGTTGATTAATGCTTCATTTTTTTGTTTATATAATTTTAATGCATCTTTCCTAAGAGTAGTTCTAGAAAAAAATTGTGCATTAGGATTATGTACAATTTTAATATAACGCTGCTAATTTATTTGTTCAGTAAAACTAAGTGGTTGATCTAATGTGGCTACTAATCGTGTCATTTCCATACGATCAACTTGCGGATCGTATTTTCACGTGCTTAGACTGCCGGTTTGGCAGTCAAACGATAATTGTGTGTGGCGGAAAGCAGCTCCGCCTCCTTACTTTTGAAGACACATTTCAGAGTGTCTTCTTAAGTGTGTAGTGTCGTGAATAGTGTTACCTTATAATTTCTCACCACAATATTTACATTGAGCTACGTATTTAATATTACCGTTATTGTCGACGTCATCGAATGTGTTGAAGTGCTCCCAAACTGCTGAGGTGCGCTTGCATTTCTTCTTAGAACTTGCAACACTTGCACTAGCACTACCGCTTGCCTCAATGCATCTTTCCTAAGAGTAGTTCTAGAAAAAAATTGTGCATTAGGATTATGTACAATTTTAATATAACGCTGCTAATTTATTTGTTCAGTAAAACTAAGTAGTTGATCTAATGTGGCTATTAATCGTGCCATTTCCATATGATCAACTTGCGGATTGTATTTCCATGTGCTTAGACCGCCGGTTTGGCGGTCAAACGATAATTGTGTTTGGCGGAGATCAGCTCCGCCTCCTTACTTTTGAAGACACTTTTCAGAGTGTATTCTTAAGTGTGTAGTGCCATGAATAGTGTTACCTTGTAATTTCTCACCACAATATTTACATTGAGCTACGTATTTAATGTTACCGTTATTGTCGACCTCCTCGAATGTATTGAAGTGCTCCCAAACTGCTGAGGTGCGCTTGCATTTCTTCTTAGAACTTGCAACACTTGCACTAGCACTACTGCTTGCCTCTCATCCACGCCCACCAGTGCCACCACCATTATGTCCACGACCTCTAGTACGTCCACCAGGGGTCGGATTTACAGTTTCCTCAGCAACTCTTTCCGTAGTTTGCGATTCATGCGTTTGAAAAACATTAGGAAATTGCCATTCTTTGATGTTGAATTGGGCATCAATGGGAATATCACCACCATAACCAGAAGAAGCCATTATGAAAAATAAGAGAGATTGAGAGCGTTTTGAGAGAGATTTAAGCGAGATTAAGAGATATTTGAGAGAGATTAAGAGAGATTTAAGAAAGATTGAGAGAAATTGAGAGAAAATGAGAGTTTTTGGGTGAGAAAAATGGTTGGGGGGAGGGGGGGTATTTATAGAAAATTTTTTGGCTTGAAAAAAAAAATTTTTCCCCCAAATTTTTGGGTCCAACGGCTAGCAAAATTTCGGGCAATCGGGTCGGTTCGGGAAAAAATTCAGTCAGTCGGGCAACTGTAAAAAAAATAGTCGTTGGGGTTTGAATTTTCGGGTAAAAATCAGGCAGCGGTCGGGTTCGGGCAGAAAGATCTGTTGGGGTTAAAATTCGGGTAGAATTCGGGCTAACGGTCAAAACTTTTTGGGCATTTTCGGGCATCAGGCAAAATTCGGGCTAACGGTCAAAAAAATTCGGGTAAATTCGGGTTACACCGGAAAATTAAAAAAAAAAATCCGGCGGACGGTGACGATGACTCCTCCACCAGCGGTCGGCAACCGGGAAATGATTCTTTTCGGGCTGCCCGAGCCCGTGCCCGACCAAATAGCTCAGACGGGCGGCAAATGGCACCTGCCTGCCGTGCCTAAAAATTTTTAGGCACCGGGCATGCCCGCCGCCCGAAGTTCCACCACTGCTTACAGCCATAATCCACAAAACCATTTAACATATAGTTTTAGATTCATAATTAGCAAAACTATTTATAACGTAAAACTGATTGCGAAAATAATTACGAGCAGTATCCATTCCCCGCTCTCCACATCATTCGTCCATTCACCATCAGTCCATCAAGTAGGAACTACCTACAATATAAATATTCTATGATAAGCTTTCGCTCAGCAAGTAGGAACTATCTCTCACAAAATAACTGTAAGTTCACATGACTAAATATGCACGAGTCAGTTATGGTTAATTATGATAATGTCTTATTAAATTCTTACTGTTTGATCTTATGTTACTTACTGATGGGCCCAAGTGCTCGTACCATGTGCGCGCAATCATCGGGACGTGAGGGTTTGCAAGGTCCCCAACGACACCGCGATTTAACTTACTATATACTTCTTTTTCTTTTCTATCTCCTTGCAGAGTCTGAGTTACCTCCCTCTCAGAGGTTGGTACGACACTCAACTGAGTTAGTTCTTATAAGTTCCACTTGACTTATCAATGTGTATGCAATATGGCATGGCATCACATAAAGCATAAACATGCATATATAACATGTGTAACTTTTCTTTTAAAATCTATTCATACTGTAGGCGAAATTCCTACTTACCTGATTTACAGAGTTGGAATCCACTATTCACCAAACAACCTATTCTCTTACTTGTTTACTTCTAAGAATGAACACTAATTAAGAGTATGAGATTTACTGTCGTTTGCTATTCTATTTTAGCAACTTATAAAGGAAATCAAGTCCTTTACTTAAGGCATGTATTCCTTTCCTTTATCGATGGATCATAACAATTTACTATAAGAATTAATTCATTAAATCCTCAAAATTTTATTTTCCTTAATTGCCCTTAACATCCACTTGCCTAGATTGAAAATTAATTACCCAATCTCGTAACTTATTCTCCATAATTTACCTTATTGGACTTGTTATGATATTAAGGTCCAATTTGGCATAGAAACTTAATAACAGTGTTCTAACTCTTAGACCGTTGAAATTTAAACTCAAGCGGGGTCTCTTGAATTAATGTGGGCGTTGGACCCACATCTAATCTTTGTAATTCTTAGGACCTAACCCTTTTGGCTAGTAATTTTTCATTCGGATGTTTTTGCTCGAAAACTGTTAAGTTTTTTTTATTTTATTTTTAAAGAACCCATTTTTCTTGAAAAGTATCTATATGAATATTTCTGTTAAAACGAGGTCTAAAACCATTGTATTTTACTAAAATCCTATTTCAGGTTCTTTGATAATTTTTGTTGAAAACCAAAACTGTTTTCAGTTTTGTCCGATTAAAACTATACTGTTTCGGAGATCTACATTTTACTATATCTTAGAGTCAAATTTTTTTAAATATGTTATTTACAGGAATTCTTTATCTCGTCGGGATCTAAAATCATCGTTTTCGAAAAAGTTGAGATTCAGCCTCTAAAGGACCTGTTTGGCTGCCAGTTTTTTTTTTCGAAGCTGTTTTCGATAGCATTGAGGCTTTTTTGAAAATGGCTTGAAACTTCCATTTAGAGTTAAAACTGAGTTTTGTCATAGTCACAGAAAAAAGTTCAAAACATCGAGAACTATAAGCAATTGAATCCTAGAAGGCTTCTCCTTATGCTGAAATTAATTATATACTTAACAGAAATTATCAAAGATTTATATTGTGTCTTGTCCGAGTCTTATATAATCTCATTATGTTAAATTCTCTTTAAGGGTTGATTCGGTACTTGAATATGTAAAGAGCTTGTATTCATAAATTTATTTTATGAATATTCAATTTATTAGAGAATCAATGAGACTCAAGGAGAAAGATCTAATTAGAGAAATTAACGGATTTCACTTAGCTCTAATTATGAATTATTTATAGATGATTAATCTATATGAAGTGACTATATTAAATGGACATTTCACAAATGTAAATAAATGTCTATACTGAATCCTATAGGACTTCTCCCTGTCCTACACATGTAGTACTTGTGGTTCCCATCACATATGTGTTTTAAAATTCCATAACATGACACACTGAATCCCTCTAGGATTCAGCATAGGGAGAATCCCTCTAGGATCTACATGTGATCCTCACCACATGTGTGCTCCAACATTTCAAAATTATGTATCATAACCTGACAGACTATAATCGGTGCCGACGACTGGAGAATTGCCGGCGTCTTGTAATTTACTAACGGACCACTGAGGGTACTTTGGTGGGATTTTAAAAAAATTTAATTTAACTATTTTTATCATTTTAATTGTAAAAGGCTAGAAATCAAGGATCTAATCTTTGAGGGTTAGAAATTGTTTGGGGTATTTAATTAAGGGGTATTTTTCATTTTTTCTCAAATTAAAACACTGCTTAAAAGTCAACTTCAGAATTATGGGTCTCCATCATCTGGTTAACTGGGCGGATACAGTTTGCAGCTTCTCACTTAACGCTTCAATGTTAATCAAGCCACATTACTATTTCACCGTTTAAGGGAAGGATATTTCAAACACAACAATAACATTATCAAAAATTAGGTCATGAGACAAAATTAGCAATTTGCAAGTCACTAATAACATACGGTAAAAGTTCTTCAAACCGAGATTTTATAAGTAGAAATACAAAATATATTTATTAGGGTCCCATTTAGAGAAATTAAAAAAAAAATTATAATAGAACAAAAAATATAAGAATGAAAAAAAAAGAGAGAAAGACAGTAAAAGAAAAAACGTAATAATAGAGAAAAAAAGATAAGAATGTAAAAAAGGATAGACAAGGAAAAGAAAGGAGAGAGAAAAGTGGTGGAAAAGTTTCTTTTTTTTTATAAAGAAAAAAGGAAAAAAAAATTGCTGAGGGGCAACGAAATGCCAAAAAAAAATTTCTTAATTAGTAAAAATGTATGGTTCATTGCACACAAAATTTAAGAAAAGTAATGGATTCGTGTCCAATTTCTTTCTATATTGACATTTGATTCATGGATTTAAAATTATAATTTAAAATTATTTTTAATTTATGTATATTTTTTATGAGAGAAAATACAATAATAAATTACGAATTATGATTTAAATCATATCACGAATACACTAATAAATTATTGACTATATCAAATAAATAAAATTATAAAAATTTAAACACATAATTTATTTAAAATAAATATTAGGAACAGTAATAAAGGACAAGAAAATCACAATGTTATAGATATGTCTATGCATATATGACTCATCCATGTACCGAAAATGAAGAGGGAAAATTTCGATCATATATTTAGGTCCCGTTCATTTCACCAATTTGAGTTTAGAATTTGAGTTTTGTTACAGTAAAAAGCTCTAAAAAACAGTCACATCTAACTTTTTTGCTATAGTAAAAAGCTCTCACACAAAATCACATCTCAACTCGAATTACAAACTTAAATCAGCGAAATGAACATACCCTTAATATTTAGATTCATTTTATAATTTAAATTATAATTAAAATACACATAAATTAAAAATAATTCTAATCACGTAATTTTAATTTATTAACTAAACGTCTTTTAGACTTAGCAACTTTGAAAGAATTTAACCTGACTCTTATCGATCGTCAAGCAACAACAAATTAATAACCAGAAAAGCAGTACTTCAGGTGTATATATAACAGCCTCCATTTCTCAGAAAAGCACCTTTTGGAGCTTATTGGCTGAAAAAATCCGAGTCTCAGAGCCCACCACTTTCACAGGAGGAGGGGAGAGGAAGAGAGCCCGAGAAAATGTCGAAGAAGAAAGTGAGTGGCAACACCATGACGCTCAAGGACTTTCATGGCGGTTCAATTCCTTCCGATCTCCCGCTCCCTTCCGCTCCTGGTGTGTAAGTCCCTTTTCCCCAATCCTATTCCTCATTTTCATCAATTTTCCCCTTTTCTATTTGAGATCTTAAGGTTTTTACTGATTTTGATATGGTTCGCTTCGGTTTTCGACTTATCGTGTGGTCGTTGTGTGAAGTTTTCTGGTTGAATGGCGAATTTATGGATCCGTAGCTAGAGACCCTAGTTTGACTGTTCTTCTCAAAGTTTAATTGGGAAGAAATGGAAGTCTTTGTGATTGTTTTGATATCGATAAATAAGCGTTTGTGTGCTTTGCAATTAAGTAGAGCATTTTAATTTGATATGTTTGAAATTGTCCTGCAGCATCGTTAGGCCTTCGGATCGTCCCGGTTATGAGCGATCGGCGGCGTGGGGGAACCAGATGGGTCGGGCTGATCACCGCTCCCGACCGCACACGTCTTCGGCATCGAGGCATTTAGATGATAAAGCTCCTTTTCTCACTCATGCTGCGCATATCGGCAGGAACTTTGATGAGGATGAGCGCAAGCCCCTCGACGGTGTGGTTGCCCCAACTCGTCCTGAGCCGAGACGAGAGTCTGCTTCTGGTGGAGGTTTATGGGGCCGACAGGGTGCAGCTCCAACGTCCCAAGTGAATTCACACTCGGGGAGGGTTGCTGAGGCGAGTTTGGATACCAATAATGGGCAGGGTGTTGGTGGTGCTTATCCGAACGCTTGGGTGGCGAGGAAGGAGGCGGCAGGTATTACTGAGCGGCCACAATCACCATGGTCTGCGCCAATGGCTGTTTCCAAGCTGGCTCATGCTAGTGCGCTTGAGAAGGTTTCATCGGGGAGATGGCAGTCGAAGCATTCTATGCATCAGAGTGATGCTGAACTTGTGAGAGCTTCCGAAACAGAAAGCGGTTCACAGTCCAAGGACTATGGTAGTAATGCCTATAACAAGATAGATGCAATTGGTGTGGTAGAAAGTTATGATGCAACCTTGGCTAGGCATGGGAAAAGGGTTCTGAATGTTGATGACTACGTTCATGGTGGTAGGAAGGAGTTTCCTGATTATGAGAGGACCAGAGCTCCTGTTAATTCAGAGGTAAAAGAAGAGAACCTAACAAACTATAGGGACAGTGGTGAACCCGATCGAGCTAATGAAAAGTTTGGTGGGACTGAAGTGCAGACCTCAACGTATGTACAACCATCAGAACGGCCTAAGTTGAAGTTACTTTCAAGAACAAAGCCACTAGAGAGTGTGGAACATACCGTTGCTGATCATATTCAGGTAGTTCTTGAGTAAGCAAAAGAAGATAAAGATTTGACTGTGCATCAGTGTTTCAAGTTCTTAGTATTTGGTTGATTGAAATTTGCAGGGGCATCAAAAGGTGACTGAATCTGTTCATACTGAAAGTTTTAACGAAGCACATGGAAATTTGAATCCTCCGAAGTTTGGTATAGCTCATACTGAGAGTGAGAAGCAGGCCGTAGAGCGCCCAAAGTTGAAATTGAAGCCCCGGTCTCAGCCTGCTGAGCAGTCGGAAGGAAATGTTGAAAGAGACAGGTTAGTGATGGGAGTTTGGGATTTCAAATTCTTCGTGATGCTTTGACTGTGGGTTGTTTGACTATTACTAATGTATGTTACATCTTATTCAAATGGACATTAAACGATATAAAGCTAAAGAAAAGATAAGCTCATGTTTGGTTCAACAACTCAAACCCAACAATTCAATTAAAACCATAGTTAGGATTCAAATTGATGTTTGGTAGGGAATTAAATGAGGACAATTCAAACCATTGAAAATGATTCAAACCCTTAATTTTAAAATTTACACGCCTCCCTAAATTCTAACCATTGGATTTGTTTTCTACAGTGAAAATAATGCAGATCTTACTTTTCTCTCTCCTCAACTTCAAGCTTAAAAATGCTATAACTTCTTCGTTCCAATTCCGATTGAGATATATTTTCTTTTTCAATGTGTTCATAATGAAGAGAGTAACAAATCCTCATCCATATTGCATATTTTTTAATGTCATTTACAATGGGATTTTATAAGATTTATTACAAAACTCTAATGACAGTTTTTAATGCTTTATTCAGTTCGAATCGCAATTTAAATCACCAAAATTCAAACCAAATCACACAATCCTAACGGCAAACCAAACAAGGCGTAAGGTTGCTTATTGTTTACAACCATATGAAATATAAAATGCAGAGGCTAATGATGGAGTTGTATTATGCATCATGACTCAAGGGTGAAATGCATAAACAAGATTCTCACATGCTTGTAGTATGCCCTGTTATCTTATGTTCTTATGAACATTTAGTTGTTTATTTGGTCTATTTATTTATTTTTTTCCGTTGGAAACAAATTGATATTTGAATCTCCCCATCTCATAATTGGCCTGGATGGTCCTGGTGTTTGGTGAGTATCTTCTCAAATGGGAAGCTGAGGTATTCCTTTCTTATCTTGTTGCGTGACATTGCCCCTCTTTCACCCTACTGTTGAAGGTGTGATGCGAGTTTAGTTACATTAACTTCCAAGATTAGTGTGCGGCCATAGTAGTTTGACTTCTTTGCCATCTATCTTAATTTTAAATATTCTTTTCTCCTATTTTCATTCCCTTTTAGAGCAACATTTTCATCAACCCAGAAATACATCTATGTGCTTCACGAGATCAGGCAGTGTCAAACTTGTATTTATTGTTGCTTTGCTAGATTAACTATTTCATTTTAAGATGAGGTTTAATTTAATAATATACGAGGAGCGAATAGGCACGTGGCACGTGATTTAAATCTTAGAAGGGGAGGATTCGGGTGACAGCTTTACAGCCCTTGATGGTTGGTAACAAGAATATGCAGCTGTGTGGTGTGTCATCAGTTTTTGAACGACTCTTTTGTCTGCAAGTGTGATGTTATTTCGTCTCTCTGTAGCTGCCATTGGCTACAGATCTGTTGTCTTATGTACTAAAGTTGGACTAAGAAGCCAAACGCAGAAATGATGTGTTGCGGTTTAGTTGTCTGACTTTGTAAGGAAAATTAATTTCGTATATATGCATGGTCGGAAGTGACGTATTCCTTCATTTCAGATTGGGAAATCAGTATTTACTTAAGATGGAGAAATCATTATTTCTGCTTGTTTCACTTTGTTTCTGATTCCACATTCTCTGTTACATCTTCGTATCATGCAGATTGAAAATAGTGAACTTGTTTGATATGTGGTTCTGAATCAATTTTTGTATCGTACCTACACATTTTCTGTTGTATCTGTCGTCAAATATTATAACGCATAATACTTCACTTGTACTATGATGAACCCCCAAAATAGTGATGGCCTGTTCTTGGTACTTACCTTTGATGCTGTTTCTGATTGATGCAGGAATTTATTGTTTGGTGGTGCTCGCCCGCGAGAACTAGTGAGTGCTTTTGCTTTAACTGCTTATATTGTTATTGTTGAACAAATTGCTATTTTAAAATAATGTTATACTTCAGTCACAAATGTAGAGTTTGGATCTTGTTGCACCCGCCTTCTCTACTCCACCCTCACTCTCCTCTTAACCTTCTCTTTTTCTTTGTTCTTTCATTAATCTGCATGGATATATCGTAAGAGTCTTGTTTGGAAACCCAAGAGTAATCTCAACATTTTACGCTTTTGTATGTTTTCTGACTGCTATTTGTTATTTTGTAAATGGGGAAAAAATACATAAATTAAAATGTGGGAATTCACCAATGAAAGAGTAAAAATTCACTGTTGCGTCATTTGGTATGAAAAAATTGGGCTAGCTTTGTGATCAAGAGTGGGGTGGGTCAATTTTGGCATGGTTGGGGTTGGACCTCGTAATTACAACAATATTGGGCCTAGTTCTACTGCAATGGTGGTTGGGCCTCAAAATTCCAACACGTTTAGGACTGGGTATAGTAAGTCTGGCTGGGTAGGAAGCAATTGGTGACAGAGAGGCCGAAAGGATGAAGACTTGGTTAGCTGAGAAGGAAACTTCTTTTCTAATGATGGAGTATGTTTTGCCTTGCTGTTATTGGTATATCCGCGTTCCCTGCTAAATGGTGTTCCTTACCCTTCTTTCTCAGGTTCTGAAGGAGAGAGGGGTTGATGATGTTGCACTTAACCATGACTTGGTTCAGCATGCTGAAAGGTATTATTGTTATTCGAATTTTTCTTTTCTTTTTCTCTCAAAACAAATCATTTTGCCATTATTTGTATGAATCTTAATTTTTGTAGGGTTGAACATCATGTCCCAAGGACTGAGAGAACCGAGAATCCTGCTTTTGATCAAAGGTTTGGAAAGAAATCTGAGAGGAGGGATCATGAGATGAGAACCGAGAATCCTGCTCTTGATCAAAGGAGTGGAAAGAAAACTGAGACGAAGGATCACCGGGTAGATGATGATAGAATTGATACGCAGAGAAGGAACTGGCATAGTGAGAACTGGAAGAATAACCGAGATACAGAGAAGCAGCAGCAGTTGGAGAGGGCGCCATCGCCAGAGACTTGGCGCAAGCCTGTTGAGCAGCCTAAACCAACATATGGAAAAGCAGCTTCAGCCATCGAGCTTGCCCAAACATTCTCTAGATCATCAGTCTCTGAACCGACTAATCGACTTTCTGGCCAAAGAAGTCTGCCTAGCCGCGCTCAGTCTCAGATACCCTTCTCCCGCTTGATGGCCGGCCCGACACCAAGGCCTCAGATAAATGGCTACTAAAGCATATTTCGTTTTATTTAATAATTTTTCCCCTTGGAAAAGAGCACATTGCCCTTGCCATCGCTTCAATTAGATATGCAATAAAGCAGAAAACATTTGAAAACACATTTCAAATTATAATGTTGAATGCTTACTTTGTTGCCAAAATCTTGACCTTCGAGTGTGAGCGAGCTTGAACGGCGGGAGTCTCTCCGAGTGAATATTCCGCAAAAATTGGCGGCACAAGTAACGGAAAAGAAGGGCAACGTTTGAATGCTTAGTCGAACAATAATTTTTCAAAAAAGAATAAAATAGTTGCTGTGCATGGACCATCAGCAAGTACATCTGCTTCAATCTATTTCTCGATACCGTTCTAATTAGTCTTAAGAGTTTAAATAATAACCACGGCCAAAGATGGAGAAATCAAATGGTTTAATTTTTTTTTCGCTTCAATCTTATTATTTTAAGCGAATCAGACATAATTAGTGATATTTTCCCATAAATATGGCTAGGCTTAACTAGAGATATACTAATAACCATGGCTTAAGATAGAGAAACCGAGACTCATTTTAACTAACATAAAGTATAACATAATTTGGTAACAGACAAGAATTAACATAACATATTCTATCGTAACGTATAGTATTAACATTAATATTAACTTATATTTCAACTGTTTACATAAATTTCTAATTATTTAGACTGGGGCGGAGTAGGCACATCACGGTGTGGAGTAGAATGACATGATACCGGCTCTGATACCAACTGTGACGACCCTACTAGGTGGCCGTCATCATAGCTTAAATTAACTTGTATTTACTGAAATTTCTCAAAATTTACGGCACATTTTTTTTAAGTCTTAGAGTAGACATAAGTTACGAGTTGCTTTATTGATTAAAATATTCAAACCTTAGCATATCTGTTTCTCAAAGTATATAGATTGCTTTATTGATTAAAATATTCAAACCTTAGCATATCTGTTTCTCAAAGTATATAGATATGTCTATATGTATATATTTAATCCTTAAGTATTGCTTATTTACAGCCATAATCCACAAAACCATTTAACATATAGTTTTAGAATCATAATTAGCAAAATTATTTATAACGTAAAACTGATTGTGGAAATAATTGTAAGCGGTATCCATTCTCCGATCTCCACATCGTTCGTCCATTCACCATCAGTTCATCAAGTATTAGGTGCAGGTTGCTTACCTACAGTATAAATATTCTATGATGGGCTTTCGCTGCAAGTAGGAACTATCTCTCACAAAATAACTGTAAGTTCTCATAACTAAATATGCATGAGTCAATTATGGTTAATTAATGTCATGTCGTATTAAATTCTTATTGTGTGATTTTATCTTACTTACTGATGGGGCCAAGTGCTCATACCATGTGCGCACAATCATCGGGACGTGGGGGTTTGCCAGGCCCCTAACGACACCGTGATTTAACTTACTATATACTTCTTTTTCTTTTCTATCTCTTTGCGGAGTCTGAGTTACCTTACTCTTAGGGGCTGATACGACACTCAACTGAGTTTGTTCTTATAAGTTTCACTTGACTTATTAATGTGTATGCAATATGGCATGGCATCGTATAAAGCATAAACATGTGTAACTTTTCCTTTAAAATCTATTCATACTGTAGGCGAGATTCCTACTTACATGATTTACAGAGTTGGAATCCGCTATTCACCAAACATCCTATTACTAGTTTACTTCTGAAAATGAACACCCATTGAGAGTGTGAGATTTACTATAGTTTGCTATTCTATTTTAGCAACTTATGAAGGAAATCAAATGCTTTACTTAAGGCATGTATTCATTTTCTTTATCGATGGATCATAACAATTTACTATAAGGATTAATTTATTAAATCCTCAAAATCTTATTTTCCTTAATTGCTCTTAGCATCCACTTGCCTAGATTGAAAATCAATCACCCAATCTAGTAACTTATTAACCATAATTTACCTTATTGGACTTGTTATGATATTAAGTCTCAATTCGGCTTAAAAACTTAATAACGGCGTTCTAATTCTTAGACCGTTGAAATTTAAACTCAAACGGGGTCTCTTGAATTAATGCGGGCATTGGACTCACATCTAATCTTTGTAATTCTAAGGACCTAACCCTTTTGGCTAGTAATTTTTCATTCGGATATGTTTGCTCAAAAACTGATATGTTTTTTTTTAAAAAATTTTAATTTTATTTAAAAGAACCCATTTTTCTTGAAAACTATCTACATGAATATTTTTGTTAAAACGAGGTCTAAAATCATAGTATTTTACTGAAATCCCATGTGAGGTTCTTTGATTACTTTTGTTAAAAACCAAAACTGCTTTCAGTTTTGTTTGATTAAAACTAGACAGTTTCAGAGATCTACATGTTACTATATCTTAGAGTCGGATTTTTTTTTAAATATGTTCTTTACGGGAATTCTTTGTCTCGTCGGGATCTAAAATCATTGTTTTTGAGAAAGCTGAGATTCGGCCTTTAAAGGACCCGTTTGGCTGCCATAGTGGTTGCCAATTTTTTTTTTCGAAGCTATTTTGGACAGCATTGAGACTCTTTTGAAAATGGCTTAAAACTTACATTTAGAGTTAAAACTGAGTTTTGTGACATTCATAGAAAAATGTTCAAAACATCGAGAACTATAAATTCAAAGTTGGAATAACTGAAAAATCTCACTTTACGATCCTCATTTTCACGTTTAAAATAACCAGAAAATTTTACATGTAACCCAAAATAAGCAAATTAAACCAAGTATAAACATACCACATAATACTAATCAAACGAACTTCAAAACACACAAAACCAACATAAAAGTCACACACCCTTATTACAAACTTATTTCCTTAAGCACCACAAATTACATCCATGTTCACAACTCAAACTTTGGTAGAAAAATAGAGGAAGGGTTTAAAGTTTATACCCTTGAAGAAGATTCTTGGTTAGGCTCCTCCTAGAACACTTTGATCACCTTCTTCTTCCTCTAAGGTTTGCTAATGACTTGGAATTAGAAGAGTGGACAAATTTGAGAAGAGCATTTCTAAATCCTAAATTTTCTTAGAAACAAGAAAGAGAAGGTTTATAGTTTTACCCTTGAAGAAAATCCTTAGCTAGACACCTTCTAGAACACCTTGGTCCCTTTCTTCTTCTTGAGATTGTAGACTAGTGCTTTGTGTTTAGAAGGATGAGTGAAAAATTTTGAGAGGAAATAAGAGAAAGGTGTGGCCGGTTGTGGTGTAGAGAAAGATGGGAAATAGAGCTAAAGTGAGACCTTGATTAAGATGGTTCTATTTATAGACAATTGGGTAATTATGTTTAACCCCTTAATCAACTTACTTAATTAACTAAATTTGGCTTAAAATTCCTTTAACTATGGCCGGCCAAGTGAAGGAAAGGAGAGAAAAAAAAATTTAACATTATTACTCTTCACCTACCCCATCAAATCGTATCTCAACCAACCAAATCTTAACCTACTATTATACTTTTGTCTCTTCTCTTAAGTTTCCCTTGAAATAGATAAAAATTATACTGACTCTGCTCATTTACAGTTCAATATTAATCCCCGACCACTTTAATATCACATTAAATTCTTACTTGCGTAATATTTCGAACTGTTTTAAGTGTTAAAATTTATTCTAGACTAAACAAATTCTAAACTTAAATTTTTTGCATTATATCCCGGGAATGACACTGTTTCTGACGGTGTTAACTCCCGAGCTCACATTGTACCCTTCTACAATAAGTATTTTTCTCGTGATTTCAACCTAACTGCTCGGCAATTAAAGATTTTTTTTACACTGCTAACATCATATTGTGCTTGGAGATTCTCAGAGTTAAGATTTTCAAATTGTATATGTATTGAAAATTCTTCCGCCTTAAATTACAGCGACAATTTATCGATCGAATCTATTTGATCGTAAAGCATAAACTTAGCATGAAATCTGCTATAGATTTTAGAAATATTAATATTAATTCCATAAATTATTCAGTCACAAAATATAACATAATATTTTCTAGGCGAATTCTTAGCTTAAATACATAAATTGTATTATTTAAAGTCTGAAATTTTCTCAATCATTACATATAATATAATATAATATAGTTATAATTTTTAATTATATTATAACTGAAATATTAATATTTCTCATGTAATATTATAATATATTTTATAATATTGTAATTATATTAACTTTTTTAATAATATTATTATATTTTATATCATAGTTATATAATATATTATTTAATAATAGTTTTATTGCATTATATTAAATATAATAAGAAATATACATCATATCGTTATTTTTAATTATTTCAGTTATTATTTTAATAATAATAATTTATTCTATAACATAATTATATCATAATAGTTTTTTTTGTTATATTCTATATCATAATTATATAATAATAGTTTTTTTATTATATTAAATATAATATATAGTTATTATATATATTATATTATATTATAATATAATATAGTCGTAATTTTTAATTATCCATAGCAATTTAACCTCATAATTTACTAAACACTATTACACTAATTTTAGAACCAGTACATCACTATAATTATAGTTTATGAAACACTTAACTGTTTTTTATAACAGCTACTTATTCTTTCAGTACAATTAAAAATAATTTTTTTTAAATTTACAACAGTACCAAACTAAGTACCGACAAGAGCAAATCCCACGGAAGTGGGAAGATTCGCGCGGATACGAAGCTCCATTCAAGATCCTTTTTGTTATGGAACAATCAGCAGTTCAACCTCTGCCACCTCAGAAGTTTAACCTAAAATTGCATATCAAAATCAACAAGCAAAGGATAAGCATTAACTTAGACATGTAGGGGTCAAGTAGAGCTTTGTCATTATAATCATTGCAAAATTCCTTATGTAACAAACTTCTGATGATAGCACAATTGTGCAACAGATTTATATTCCTTCTGTACCTGCTATAAATAATGAAAGATTGAGTCCTCAGACAGATTTATATTCCTTCTGTACCTGCTATAAATAATGAAAGATTGAGCCTTCAGAGATTTTGATTGAGGCTATTCCCAAATTGCACATTTCGTTTATTTCGTTCTTGCTTACTCTATTTTCTTCTTCTTCTTGTTTAATATTCTACTTCTGGTATGGATCCAAATATGGTATCAGAGCAATCTGAGACCAGCGTCGAAAGCACCAAGTCGTCGAGATCGGCTATGGCTGCTCCGACCATGGTAAAAACATCAAAGGAAGTTGGAAGCTCAAGTAGTTCCACTCAACCTCAGCTCTATA